TAATTCCACTGTCTTAGTTAGGCCTAGGCCTAGTCTTATGCCTCACCGTCCCCCGCTACACAGTACATCAGCAGCCCCTCCCCCATACAGTACAGACGTTTGCTAGGTAACAACGTGATGCACCTTCCTTCCCAGGTGCTCATGTAACCGTGACATAATTGTTAGCTAACCAGTTGTGTGTATTTCTTTGTGAAAATGAGTACCGCGGCGTACTCATTTTCACAAAGCATTTGCATCCCCTCTTGGAAAAGAGGGATTCGAAATAATTGTCTCCATATCTTCGCTAATTAAATTAATCACCGTAATTTAGCTTACACTTATGAATTTAGGGAGTACTTAAAATGTGAAATAACCATTTCACTACCCGACAAACTCCGAACTTTATTCATTCATTAGGCCTACATAATAGTTTCAAATTGCTGTACTATATACTCCAACATCACTGGCGCATGGTAACAATCAACTGACTGCAGACCATTTCCGGTCACACATTACTCTCCATAACACAGCACCCCCTAGTTCCGTCACCTCTGGATGTATTAATTGACACGTGAAAGCTGGCGATGTCCAATAAATTTACTGATTTATTGCACACTATAGGCACTAACGGCGCGCCATATTCAACACGTTTGTTCATTTCGTTGCATGTGCTCTCTTCTTTTACTGCCACGCCAACGACAAGATGGGATTTGGGGACCTGAATAAAAAGTCTGGAATTGAAGCTCTCAATGACTTTTTAGCTGACAAAAGTTACATCGAAGGGTAGACCTACTCTTTAATATTTGATTTATAGTCTTAATATTGATCCAATGTGTTCAGGGCATGCGATGGGATGATTTCCTTTCCTTGTTTAAGCAGGAAGTACGGCTGCTAGCTAAGCAGTTTAGGGGCAGGCGAGGGCTGGGCCTCTTACTACCACTGTATTCAGCAAGGCTAGGCCAAGGGACGAAATGCTAGTCTATAGTTAAAATATTTTGTATAGAATAGATCCTTACCTGGTTTTCCCCGGATCGTTTCGCCGGTTTTTTTCTCTACAAAAACTCGGGAAAGGGCTGTTGATTCTGGACAAAATACTGTAGTAGTAGGTCCTATAGTATGGAAGGCCATATGTGCCTGATGCGATGGGTATGTTGAATTGTGTGCAGTTCAAATTAATTCCTTTCTTTTGCAGTCGTATGACATGCAGGCCCATGTTTAATATGTTAATTTTTTTTTTTGTATTTTAGACAATAATCATATGTTTAATGAAAATGTGTTCATTAATGTTTGCCTTTTAATGTAGATATGTACCTTCACAAGCTGATGTGGCTGTCTACCAAGCCATATCAAGCAGTCCATCCCCAGATCTCATCCATGCTCTTCGTTGGTTCAACCACATAAAATCCTATAGCAAGGATTTTGGTAGTTTGCCGGGTGTCAAGAAACCTGCCTCTGAATATGGGCCAGCAGGATCCGGGGCACCAGCAAAGGCAGCCGCTGATGATGATGACGATGATGATGACATCGACTTTTTTGGATCAGATGATGAGGAGGTTTGTGGATCATCATATAAAGGGAATTGATCGTTAAAGACATGTAATGAATGCCTTTGAATCCAGTTCAGTGGCAGTTGTCTTTTTGGATTAAAGAACTGTTTTTTTGTTGTTTTTGTTTTAATACAGTATTAGATGATAACAAAAACATAAGAGTAAATAAATATAAAAAAAAAGGTGCAAATATTACAAACGTTAATAAAATTTGTAATATTAGGTAAAAAAGAATGAGGAAAATGCAACAATTGATACCTTTCTTTTTGAGTTCTTGAATGTTTTAAGGGATTGAAAGTTTTATGTTATTTTTCCACTCTTTACATTAACAACTCAGAAATTTCTTTTCAAGGATGCAGAGGAGTTGGCAAGAATAAAGAAAGAACGACTAGATGCATACAATGCCAAGAAATCAAAAAGTAATGTGGTACTTTTGAATCATATTGATGTACTATTGATTGTCTATTTATTTTTTAAAGAGGCCCCCATTTGAGAATGATTATACAGTAGTTCAATTTGTGCTTTTCAAATTGCTTCCACAAGTTGTTAATGGTTTTTTTTTATCAGATGATGAGGAGGTTTGTGGATCATCATATAAAGGGAATTGATCGTTAAAGACATGTAATGAATGCCTTTGAATCCAGTTCAGTGGCAGTTGTCTTTTTGGATTAAAGAACTGTTTTTTTTTTTTTTTTTTGTTTTAATGCAGTATTAGATGATAACAAAAACATAAGAGTAAATAAATATAAAAAAAAAAGGTGCAAATATTACAAACGTTAATAAAATTTGTAATATTAGGTAAAAAAGAATGAGGAAAATGCAACAATTGATACCTTTCTTTTTGAGTTCTTGAATGTTTTAAAGGATTGAAAGTTTTATGTTATTTTTCCACTCTTTACATTAACAACTCAGAAACTTCTTTTCAAGGATGCAGAGGAGTTGGCAAGAATAAAGAAAGAACGACTAGATGCATACAATGCCAAGAAATCAAAAAGTAATGTGGTACTTTTGAATCATATCGATGTACTATTGATTGTCTATTTATTTTTTAAAGAGGCCCCCATTTGAGAATGATTATACAGTAGTTCAATTTGTGCTTTTCAAATTGCTTCCACAAGTTGTTAATGGTTTTTTTTTTGTACTTTAATCTTGGAAAGACTGAATGAGATAATAGCAAATGTCAAACATTCTGCCTAGTACAGCTGGGCACGCACTGCACCCAACAGTCAGCTAACGCGATTCTATGACAAACACATTTCCACTATGTGCTGGCAGCGGATCGCCTTTAATGACGATTCGTTCAGACAGCCACCGTATTATCAGCAGACAGCATTGCGTCATCTAGCGATTACTCGCTGGGAGCAGAGTTGGATTTGTCCGCCGACGGTTGTTTGACTGTCTTACAACCAAGCTTATGTTTATGGTCTTAAAATATTTAAACTGAATCAGCCAACTGATGATTAGATTGTTGTTAATGCTTTACCAGATTCTGAAAAAAAAAAAATCTGCTGATTAGCACATTATGATATTGGTTGAACTCAGTTCACACTACTGTATTAAGTGATAAATCTGTGATTTGCCCAAATAAATTTTTCCTATTAGCCTAGAGGAGGAGGGTTTATAAACCATTGAACACTGAATTGTGTCAGTATGCAAACAATTTTTGGAAGTTAAAATCTTATTAATGTTTGCATAATAAGCAATCTGATGTTTTTATTTCACATTTAAGGATTTTCCCAATTGTTTTGCAATAATCAATCATTCTATACTATATTCCTTACAGAACCTGCACTAGTGCCTAAATCTAATATCATCTTGGATGTGAAACCAGTAAGTGAAAGTTAACGGCATCTGCTTGAAACCAATACATATTAAACTAAATATAATCGCTTGCAGTATTTTATTATTTTATATTTATCAAAAGATTTTTGTTTGTTTTTTTAGTGGGATGATGAAACAGATATGGCCGAGTTGGAGAAAAGTGTGAGATCAATAGAAGCTGATGGTCTTCTTTGGGGAGCAGGTTAGCAAATTGTTCATTTTGGGTATACAGTACTGCATTTGCGCAGATACATTCTATGCTGTAGTAGTGACATTCCTCTGTGAAGTGGAATGTGTTAATGTTTATTTCAGTTCATGGTGTGGTATGGTGTTTTGACAGATGACCAAGTGACTGATAGCAACTTGTCTGATAATGGACTGGCTATGCTTAGAGTAATTTTAACCTAGTTACTCATTGAGCCAATTTTTGTTAATTGGCCCAATAAAAATCATTGATTACTCCAATTAAGAATACAGGGTACTGTATATATGCTCATGACTGGTGAGGATTACTTTTCCCCTTCTACTTTTGAAATGAAAACTTAAATTAAATTTAAGCGTATAAAGCAAGCAATTCTCATTTTGTTTTTAAAGCTTATTAGAAGTTATGAATTAAGAGACGCTTACTATATAATTTCAAAACAAAATTTAATGACAAGAAAAATCGACATTTCGGGTCCATCATGGAACCATTCTCCAGATCAAGTAATTTGAAAAAACAAAAAACAAAAATACCAAGCAGTGACAGGAAGTAAGTAATTAATTTGATATGTAAATTAATTACTTACTTCCTGTCACTGCTTGGTATTTTTGTTTTTTGTTTTTTCAAATTACTTGATCTTGAGAATGGTTCCATGATGGACCTGAAACGTTGATCTTTCTTGTCATTAAATTTTGTTTTGAAATTATTAGAAGTTGTGTAGTTTAATATATTATTTTTGATGTTGTCTCAGGTAAATTTGTCCCTGTTGCCTATGGGATTAAGAAACTGCAGATTGCATGCGTTGTTGAAGACGACAAGATAGGAACAGATTTCTTAGATGAGAGTATTACATCTTTTGAAGATTATGTAAGTTTGTATGCAAAATATATATTGAAAATAAATATTAAATGCCTGTATCTATTAATAATAAACCAATAGCACTAGTGACAAATAATATATTTTTCTAACAGGCACTATACAAATTCTAATTGAAGAATAATAATGCAACCAATTTTTTATTTACAAGCTGTGCATTCTGTATATGTCCTATTTCACCATTATTATGTTGTATATTAGTGGCTACTGTATAATGTCTTATTTATCTTCAATGTCATTTTGCAGGTACAAAGTGTTGACGTCGTTGCATTTAACAAGATCTAAAGTGCGTCGACGTTTGAATTTCTAGGCGTGTGTATCTATCAACTTTAAAAGTTCATTAACACTCCAGTACTTACTGCCAAGGCAATAAAAAAAAATTAGGAGTTTACTCGTACTGAAATTGATAATTGTAATGTTGATGGAATTTGACATCATTGTCAAGCACCTTCTGTATCGCGTCATTTAATGATTGAAAGTCTAATAATAAATATGAAAAATGTATTTTGAAGAGCTGTGTTTTTATTGCAAGCCAGGTTGAATACTGTACTTTTGTCAAACTTTTAGCACTGGACCCTACAGTAGCCTCTCATAAAAGACCCTAAAGCAGGGGTGGGCATTAAAATGGGTCGGAGGGCCAAAGTGAATTTTTTACTCAACTCTAATGGCCGCACCCGAACTTTGATGCTGCAGTGCACTTGTATAGCCACTTTATGCTCAGTTTTACTACAGTATTACTTTTTACATATGATTGGTGTCGGGCCGCAAAAAAAGGGTTTTCTAGCCAAAAGTGGTTGGCATGTGGAGTTTGTAATTCATTTTGGCAGGCCACACAGAAATCACGGTGCCCATGGGTAGGTGCTGCATTTACGGGGGTATTTTTGAGGACTTGGTAGCACAAGTGTGGGAATTTATGGAAGAGTTTCAGCATGTATAGGGTATATTTGCGAGGACTTGGTAGCACAGGTGTGGGAAACACAAGGTAAATTTGGTAGTTGAAGTCCCTGCCCCGTCCATCAAAGTCGCATAATTTTTCACACAATGTTAAGCAAAGATTTTTTGCTAACCTCCGTGCTAAACCTACAATTGATACATAGCCACGAACAGTAGGGATCATCAACAGACAAAACTGCGGTCTTATTTGCCATCAGGAACAGTACAAGTTTAATTTGGTAGGTTACATGGCCGTAATACTGTAGTAGTTCAACCGACACCAGATTTTGGTAAATGGTAGTCCCTAATAATTTTCAGTAAAATAGGTAGCGCAAGTGTCTCATGTCCTTGAATGGCTGCTGCACGCCCCCGTAAGGTTGGTATACAAGCGAGGCCCCCGGGACAGTCCCCTAAAGGGTGCCCAAGAGAGTTGTACTTGGGTGAGCTCTAAGAGGAAGGAATATTGTAAAAACCTTTAGCAAAATGGTCTGTGAAGGTATGAAAAATATGAGTGTGATGACCACCTGCTGATTGTATAGACGTCTTCTCCATGGAATTCACTTAGATCTCATCGCATATATCAGTAATTAGACTAAATTACTTTGTATTTATTTAATTAATATTAATATTTTGTGTCAAGAAATATTTAATGGCGACATGTGTGCTAACAGGCAAAAAAACAACTCATTTTCACTTGAAATAATTTGGCAAGCAGCAAGTTTGCAAAACAAGGTATCAAATTAAAATTTCATATTTGTCTAGGCTGGCGTTTAGCCAACTTTAAGACTGGCGACCCGCTTTGGAATTTTAGACAAGAATTGCGACCAACCACCAACCAACAATTATGCTGAACTTGCCTAAGTCAAATCCAATTTGTTTAACTTGGATAAAATTTGACTAACAGATTGTTAATTAATGGAAAACACAATTTGGCATGTAAAATAAGATCAACTTAATTATTTGACTTAGGCAAGTTTAACTGTGTATTCATCCACAGTAAGAATACAAAAAAACAACACCAGAGACAACCATTAAAATTGACCGATAAATTTATGGGAAAATATAACCATATAATAACTACACAATTCATAAAATGTAAATTAAGATATAAGAATGACACTTAAATTTTTAATCAAAATATTAAACATAGATATTGCTTTTTCATTATTGAACACGTTACTTTAAAAAAAAAATAAATCGTGTTGGCATGATTTAGGTGGTGAAGGTTATTATTCACATAAATTCTTCTAAATATAGTTAATTAGTAACCTTGTCAAGAAAATAAAAAGTAGTTTGTTATTAAAATTACTATCCTCCCTAGAATCCATTAAGTAAATTACAGTAAATAGCCTGACAGCATTATTTAGGTGGTGAAGTTATTATCCAGATACTAATTCTAAGTTAATTGATAACCATGTCAAGAAAATAAGTAAATAAGTAAAGTAGTTTGTTAATTAAAATTAATTGCTAAAATCAAATGAGCAAGTTAAATAGTCTGCTAAAGGGAAACCCAACACCTTTTCCTTTTTAAATGTTTGAACTTTTACGTACAGTATGCAGCAGAACCTACTCCTTTGCGACACCCCTATTAAAGGGACACTTTTCGGGCATACTTTTTTGGGTCCCAAAGGTGTCCTTACTGTATTTCATCTTACAAATTTTAACATAATTGACAACTGAATGTTTACCACAATGTGTAGACATTAACAGTACAACACTGGATGACAAAAATAACATCTTCGAAAATGGACGGAAAAAAATCAAAGTGGTGAGTTCAAATTCAAACCATTTTGTCATCCCTGATTAGGTATGGTATCGTTGACTTTACACCAATCATTCATCAATTACGATTTTTACACCAATCATGTGTTTGAACCACTCAATTAATATATATCCAAATATACATTATGCATTTTACACCAATCACGAAATATTATAAATCTCGCTACAGAGAATAATTCTGAGTACTGTACTGTGTTCTGTTAATAACTGCAGGGTGTCCCAAGATGCTACTTTTGGGAGATCTGAGAGGTTTCTTAACATCTAATCTATATTATTATGTATATAGATACTTGGTCAGCTGACTTCAGGAGAGACAAATAATATATAGTAATACTGTTAATACATCTAGACATAAATTTGTGGGGAGATAGGTTACAGTGGTGGGGGGGGGGGGGGAGAAAACTGACAATTTCCATAAGACTTGGGACCCCTGCAACTGAATGAATTGAAAAGCTAATGATGGTGACCACTACCACCGTACACAATAACAGTCTAGCCTTGTCCACACTATCAAATTTTATGTAAATGTGATATGCCCATATTTGGTTGTAATGTGACATCATCATGCCCATATATGGGCACATCACACAGATTTGTAACATGAAATTTGATAGTGTAGACAGAGCCTTGGATGTACCATGGAGGTAAAATAAGAAAAACAACCCCCTAAAAAATCCAATTAAAACATTGAATTAATCATATAAAAACATTAATTAAGGTATCGACCAATCAGAAAAATTGAAAACATTAGTTTTTCAGTGAATTACAGATCCAATCAAAAAAATATTAATATTTTGATTTGATCACCAGTTTATGCATTCAACAACTGGCGTTGAAAATATTTAATGCTGATACCATCACTTCAAGAACAGCAGCATGTAATGAGTTGTACTTCAATACATACATATTTCAGGAGAATAATTTGTTCCTGCATTCTCATAGCTACTGCAGTAAAAAGGTATTAAAAAATTTAAGTAGTAATAATAAACAACAAAATAAATGTGGTCAATTATTTCCAGAAGTATAGTAATATGGGGGCAAAACCAAGAAGTATACTACCTTTATGTACAATAACTCTTGGATTTGCAAAACATAATTTGTTTGGTTTTTCATAATCAGTGTATATCTTTACCTATTATTTTTATTACTGATTACACCAAGCAACTTATTAAAGCTTATGAACATATTAAAATAAGACAATGATGTAATAGGTTCACATGGCTCACAAATACAAATATAACATTAAGTTCCCATTTCTTTGTATCAAAATTTTTTGCTATATATTTATAAGAATATTATTAAGGAATGATGCTCACCACTGGACATTCTTATCAGTTAAGAATGTGTTAATGCACCGAGCATCATGGGATACCTCTATCCAAACCAACCATCCTTCTAAACCCAAAAACCTCAATCACTAATGTTACCTGATACCTTCCTGTAGCAGCAGGCTACATTTCATTATTTTTTTTTTAATTAAATTTTTTTTTTTTTTTTTTTTAATATGTCATTATTCCAAATTTGAAATTATTGAATTTGTTTGGGTACTCGTAGTGGCTCATGAGAGAACTATTCTAGTCGAGCAATCCACTCCCAATTAAAACCAGGATTACAACCTGCAGTACAAGAAGCAGGAACATTCCATCTCAGCCAAACACTCAGCTTCAACAATAACATGATTAATATTTTTTCTTTTTCTTTGTCCGGTTGAAAATATATTCTGAATAGTGTGAAATTACGAAATGCTAGCCAGGCATGTCTACCACAAGAAAAATGAATGTAGCCTACTGTATATACATATAATACTAACACAGAGGCATTCCTCTTAATTTAAACCAATCACTGATTGAAAGGTAAAATGGAGACCACATCCTACACTTCGCCCCACAGTTTGCTAATTCAACACCACCTTTGGGACCTATGCTTAGTGTTAATAGATTGAAGATCACATCAACAGACACATAGGAATGCAGCACTATCACCTATATATTTATCTGCCTCTTCCACATCAGTTTCTCAGTTAGCATTTTGTTGGTAGCCAGTGGGGCACCAGCAGGGGTCGAGGAGGGCACACAGCACCCATATTGGGGACAAAGCCAATCATTTAGTCCGGGAACACTGCTTTACAGAAAGCAAGTGCATATTCTTAATTGCTCTAAACATGGTGGGGCTGAAGTGGGTGTGGACACTGTCAGGTACTTTGGACCCCACGTCTGAATATGTGACACCACCACTCTCCATAACTACAGTACAATAAGTGTTGGTCAGTTCTGGTCTGACTAATAATATTATTAGGCCTAACTTAAGTTCAATAATAAAACCAAAGATATAAATGTCCAAAGGCTTAGGTCCGTATATAATACATGCTGGTCAAGTATATTTTTTGTATTCACAATAAAATTAAAATGATACTTAAAATGTTGTAACTGGGTTCCATCGTTAACATCCAAATAGGAGGTTTGACCGAGGAATGAATTCAATTTATTATCAACCTGGATTTTGATATGTTTTTTAAATTACATTGGCCTGGGATAAATTAGGACTTGCTTGATATACCATGGACTGCATGCAGATCGTACGTTCAAACAATTGATAACTTTTTAATTTCATCAATAATTTAAAAATGTCTTTCAAAGTCAATCCAAATTATGTAATTTTTTTTTAATCAATCATTTTTAATAAATTATCATAAATTATGCAAAATTAATTTAATTAACAAGCTTAGGGTTCTCATCTGTTCTTAATTCAAGGCAAGAAACCATATCAGTTGGTTATAAACCACCATCAAGTCTTATGCCCTTTAGTTAATGGAAGATCAGTGTTCAAAGACAAACCACCATTAAACTCTACAATGGTTCCTTTGTAAGTTGTAAAATGTATGACACATTGCCCAAAGGCATTCCTTTTTTGTTGTTTGACTCCTGATTATAAAAAAAGTAGGCTGCCCTCAATCTAATAGCTGCATGTTTATCATTTCCCATTGCTGTGACTTGTGACCATTACAGGGTTTCACGCTTGGTTCATCGTGAGCTTTCTCTGAAGTATCTAAACAAAGTCCACTGCTGTGCTGTAATTCTTTGGTCTGAAAATAAATAAATAAATATAGTAAATAGGTTCATCAAACTACACATCCAACAACATAAACAACTTTTATTGTTAATGCATTTATCTGCAAGATAATTTAAGCATCATTCAGTTGACATTAAACCCCCATTATGAAAACCAACAGCAGGGGGGTCCCAAGTCTCTCGAAATCTTCCGCTCTCCTTCAAGTATCTCCCAGAAACCTATCTTCCACAAGTATTTGCATGCTTTTACCACTCTATTATCAATTGTCTCACAGAAAACAGAAAAGATGGGCATCACCATCCACAGCAAAATGAAGTTAGATGTTAAGAAAGCTCATTTAACCAAATCCAACTTGGGACTCCTGCCTGCAGTACATTGCTATTTATTATTTTACATATGTTGTAGTCATGTTTCTTCAGCCAAAAAGATAATAAAATTGTTTATTGGTAACAAGAGTTTTAGGTTACCAAATTACATATCCATTGACAATCTGTATCAGGAATACCAAGTCCCTATATTCTTCTAGGCCTATTGACATCAGCAGGCTGATACAGAGGTGAAGGCTGGGAAAATCAGGTAATTATTAACAATATGAATGTAATTTTTGCTCAGTAAATGCAAGTGGGAAGAGGGGGAGGAAGGCATGTGGTGAAAGTTTTTTTCAAAGTGAGTGTTTAAAAATATTATACTGTACACCTTGGCGTTAAAACAACTTTGAGTAAGAATCTAATGTGAATCATAGCTTGGGGTTAGTAATAGTAATAAAATACCACCACCAACACTGTTCGATACCCTTTCCTACGCACGATTTTTCAATTTTAGTAATGACAACTGTGTAATACACATAAACATAACAATAATATGTTAATGTTTTGGTCTCAAAATAACAAATTATTAAATCTTTGGTATACATAATAAGGCTGAATAAAGCCTATTTCTTATCCCATGCACAACTCTTGTTTTACCTGCTGCTTTTTTCAAAACACTCAGAAACCTTAGCAACTAATAAAATCAAATTATAATTCACTGTACTATCATTATCATCACCATCATTATCATTGTGTTTGAAATACAGTAATTATTATTTTATTATTATTATAATCATCATCATCATCATTTATCTACTATCATCAGCAGGAAAGCATAATATAATACATTTAATTTATTTTTATGTGTAAGTAAGCTATGCAAGGTACTTTCTCCATAGCTTAGCAGTAAAATTCATACAGATATTAGATACAAAACAATATCATTATGAACAGTACAGTGTTTGGTAACTGTGATAAAAATCTCACAATAAGAAATGCATTCAATATTGTTTTTTTAAGAGATAAATCTTCCAAAGTATCATAAATGCAATAACACTTTAAATTGCTCATTTAAAAAGATGAATGATTTATTAACGTATGACCTAAGACAGCGATTATTAATACAAATCAGTTTTTGCTGATTTCCGAATCATATTAAAACCCACAAGTACAACCTCCTTTGCTCCCTGGGAAATACCCCTTACCATGCAGAAAATACAGCACTACCCCCATTTCTATCTAAAATCATTCATATCCTGGGTGGGATGAGACAATATGGAGAAAGTTACTAGAATTTGTCTCAATTAACAACCCTTTGACTGGAAGCCCAGTCATTTCACCTCACCACATGCTTCAACTAAACTATATCAATACATGTATTCTCACTACGTTAAAGTGCATAAAACTAATAATGTGTATACATGAACAACAAGCAGTGGTTATCAGTGAAATGAGTGAGTATGAAACGTTAGGACAAAGTGCAGGCAAGGTTACAATAATAACTGATTGCTAAGGTCCACCTTTTTATCAAGTAGCATGCAGGAGAAAAAGTAATTAAAACGTAAATTGAATAGTAAAATACTGCACCCAATGCGGCTCTCACCTCTTTCAAATATTTCCACTTTTGCCTTTCCTACAGTGAAAAAATAATATAAAAAAAAGAGTGTCTCATCTATTCGTACCACAACAAACTCATTTATAATACAAAAAAAAAAGATTGTTTTAAACTCTATAGACAATACTCAAATAAATTACTTATTTTGTAAAACTATTTGTTATCAATAACAATATAATACTGATAACAACAATAATAGCAATTACATGTTTAGAATAATTTCTTAATTAAGCCAAAATATGTGATATTTACTTCAATGTTTTGGCTGCTGTATAATAATTATAATTATGCCATTCTTATATATCTCATTCGATAAAAAAAAAAAGCCACAGTGAGCTATACAACAATGAAAAGAGGAAGGAGTTACAAGGAAGGACACAAATTATACAAGTATTATTATTATCTCCACGAGGAGATAAGTTTTTTTAGTCGTGTAAGTTTGTGTGTGTGTGCCTGTCACCTTTTTCTGTTTTTGTGTGTGTGTGTGCATTCAAAATAGCTCAAAAATGGCTGCACAGATCTAAATGAAAGTTACAAGGAGTGTTAGGTATGACCCAATGAAGAAATGATTACATTTTGGTGAGTAGGATTAGGGCGTGGATATGAGGACCGTTTAAACAAATTGTCCTAGACCAGATATTTCAAAAACTGAATGAAACCTTCGTGAAAATTTAACCAAGTTATAAGGAAGAACTTATCAAAGGTTGGTGATGATCCAAATTCGGGTGTGAATTTGAGGGTTATTAGGTCCAAGACCTAAATCTCTCTAAAATGGATCAAAATGAAACTTTCCACAATAGGTAGACACAATAGCTATATGATGAATATTCACATTAGTGCAATTACAGTAAATGTGTACAGTGTTTTACAGTGTATGTTCTAACTTCACTTTTTTGGGAACTAATTGGGAATATTTTTAATGCAAATTTATATTTAAACATGTGACACCAAAAAGCAATACCCCATATTTTTTTACTAATTTGACTATTTGCATAATATTTCCATTTCAACACCAGTACTTGGCATGTATTTTTTGTCAACTATAAGTAGGTGGTGGTTAGAAAGTAGGTGAGTTGTCACATTTTTACAGTACTTATCATTAGTTGAAAATACAATGTTTCAATACTATATGTTGCTTGGATTCTGTGTTTAAAACGTAACATGTGTATTGAGGGATTTGCAGTGGTGGAGATATGTTCTCTACTGAGTGCTCCTATATTATTATTATTATTATTATTATTATTATTATTATTATTATTAAATAAAGCTTTAACTACCCAAAAAGAATAAACCATAATTAGCATACTGCAGTAAGCATCCAAACTACCCAAAAAGAATACAAGCATAATGATCTAAACTCTCTAATTACCCAAAAAGAGTCAGAAAGCAAAAAATAGCACTTTCAGACATGTTGAGATTTATATTATCACAAGCTTTCATGTAAACGTGTAGTACACTTCTTCTGTTCAGGTGACTTCACCTGAACAAATGTCCTACATACTTACACGAAAGCTTGTGTAATAAAATAGTACAGTTCACCATGTTATTTACCCAAAAAGAAAGAATAGAAAGAATCATTACTCAGGCTATGTTCTCACACGGCAGCTAACGGTTAGCAGGATCCGGATCCTGCTAACTGTTTGCTGCTGTGCGTCCATGCAAGAAAATCCCAATCCGGATACCAACAATGTGATGATCAAATCACTGGCCAATAAGAAACTGGAAATTGTAAACGCGTACGTGTGATTGGTTGATGATAGAAACGCCCTCGACTTGCTAACCGATGGCGCTTGCTAACCGTTAGCGTATCCGGATACTGCTAACGGTTAGTGCTAACCAATCAGTCGTTCTCACGCTGGTGCTAACGGTTAGCTCCCGATCCGGATACTAGGGCTCTCGTGAGAACCAGGCTATACTAGACTAAACTACATAAATACAGGTCTCCCTCCAATTAAAGACAACTTTCGGGACCAGGGTCTCCTGGGGTTTAGCAGCTTTTCTCTAATTAGAATAATAATGATAAAGGACTTTTGTTAATTTAAGACCACAGAAAAGTGGGTGTCTTTAATTAGAGAGGGACCTGTAATTGAATGCATGTTGTTGATAAATTATTTAATATGAACTACTTTTTATAGGCCTCTATACAGTGGCGGATCTAAGGGGGGCCGGATCTAGAGGGGGTGAATAGAGTGGCTAGACACCTTCCTTTGTTTACCGTGAAAAAAAAAATAATGGTCACTCGTCTTGTGTGTGTGCTTCTCGTGTACTCTGATGCCATCTAAGATCGTCTAGCAGTCTAATTCCAAAAAAATCTCCATTGAGAGGGGACGCCTCTCTTAAAACCATCCATTTTTCCGCTCAGTCCTCTCACCTCCCATTATTCACCCCCCATTGCTAAATCCTAGATCCGTCACTGCTATATAAGAATGTCTTCCTCTAAAAAAAAAAATCTATACCTATACTGGGTAACAATTAAAAATCTACTGTTCTCCCATAAGCCCCAATTCTGCTTTCATTTTTGGTTTCCTCCCTGCTGGTGGCAAGACAACATCATCACTGGTCCATTGTGGGCCACATCTAAACATGAATCATCATGTTTTAATTCATAATCCTTTGTAAAAGCCCAGATCTACAAAAAAAAATACATTACATTCAATCACAACATAGAGAACCCAGGATGTTTACATTTTTAAGAGGCATTAAAAGAATGAATTTGACCAAAATAATGGGTCATCATGTAGAAATGCCATTATATATTAATAAATAGCTTTATTACATGCAAGTAACATGTTATATATAACAAAAAAGATAACAAATATATATTATTTATACATACGTTATTTACATATACAAATTTTATATCAACATCATTATTGTTAAAATGATACCAAAAACTGCAGGTAAAATGAATCTTACCTGGTTGCCACCTTGTCCATGACAAGCATAAAGGCCGACCTTGTGACCTGTGTCTCTCATCATTGTGTCTAGGCACTGATTAGTCTCGACATTGCGTATCTGTAAAAAAAAACAAAAAAAAAACACCACTCACTAGATATAAGCTTTAAAAATTTCATTTATTTCTTTAAATATGGATAGATTTATTCGGTGTATAACCAAGGATAATCCACGGAAGTCTAGAAGACTTATTTCCAGTGGGGTCCTTCTAGTGGTGATTGGGAAGCACACCAGGACACAATCCCCTACTCTTTTCTGAAGAATGTACAGTACTGCGTTCTTTAACATGCAAATAGCAACAATGCACACAGGACCAAAACCTTAAATGTCTCATTTGAAAGACGGTGGGTGAAATTAACTTGCATTCAGCCCTCCAGCTGAAATAAAAGCAGCAATGGGAAATGAACCAGGACCAGTGACTACCGTATATCAAAACTTGTTACAATTTTTTACAAAAGTAAACTAGCTTAATAATGACATTTCAATCATGAATGATTACTATTTAAGTTATTTTATAGGTCACCAATGTTGGTAACAACAATAAAAAAAAAAAGGCAATAAATATAATTTAAAAAAATGGCAATAAATATAATAATGATAATCATCAAAAATAACTTTGACCATTGCTGCATAAGTTATTTGTATCTTGCGTATGTGTACACATTTTGGTATGACTGTGATATTTATGATCTAGCGAAATTTGGAGTGTTTGGAAGACCATTTGTTATTTTCGCTGACATAAAGTTTAATCAAAATTCTTAACAAATAAAAGACACAGGTTTCTGCTTTTCTTGACTGTAAAAAGACACACAGAACCTTTTCTAGCATATAAATTTATTATCAATTACTTCACCTTGTGAAGTCAAATCGATTGAGGCAAATGCTTGTGTAATAACTCTCAGGTTAGTATAAATGTACTGTTTGATTTATTATCTAAAACACAGCTATCTATCGACTTCTAGATAGAAAATGAATTATTATTGATTAGGAATTAATTGTAAGTGATTATTAAAGATTTTTCATCACATGTCCTTCTCTGGGTATTTGTAATTTCTTGTACTTGATGACAAAAAGTTCAATACATTTTAATATTATGTGATTCTTATGTGAACTTGGGTTCATAATTTAATTGCTTTAATAATATGAGATGCTTTTGGAATTGAATCATGAATGTACTTCACACCTGTATGTGTTTTTATGTAATTACTATATAAAAATATGTAAATAAAATATTTATGGATGAATGATATATGTACATCATTATTATATTAAACCATCCAAAATGATTTTATATTTTTAAAATGACCAATATTTATGATTGATATTTTACTGTCAATGCCAAAGTTGTGGGATAATAAAATACATATTGTATTGTGCCTTTTCATTTACTGTATAAATGAATTAAGGAATTGAACTTTGGTGTGAGAGGGACCAAGTTCGAATCCCGTCAATGTTGATCTTGCTGGTGTCTTTCACTGAAATCTTTCACTGTGTGTGCACTATTGCATATGTGCATGAAAAATAACCCAGTATTTACACTACAGTATTTGGGGCTTGCCACGCCAAAACCAGCATCAGTGACCAAAGCAAGAAAGTTGACTTTTTATTTTCATATTCTCCACATTACAAAATTTAAAATGATGGGACATTTACTGGAATTGACTTATTATTGCTAAAGTTATGAGTAAAAGTATTACAGCTTCTCTGTACTAAAGTATACGATATACTGCCACATTTTATTTATTTATTTCTTTCTTTTGACTGGATACATTTTCAATACAAAAGTACTGGTCTCCCAAATGGTCCAGTTATTTTTAACAATTTTCGGAATAAAAACTTAACATAATCAAAATAGAAAATCATTAGAATTAAAAAAACAAAAGGCATAAAACATGAAAGAAAACAGAAAAAAATATGTGATAAAATTTAAAATTAAGAAATAGCACAAAATATCCAAACTAATATTGGTTGCATTTTTCCTTATGTCAATTGGTAGGTTATTCCATTCTTTGGCAGATCTATACTGAAAGGTTCCTTTACCATGATTGTTATTCCAGATTGGTACAATTAAAGTGTTGCTACTTTGGCTACGGGTGCATTTAGAGTGAATATTTTCATTACAGACAAGCATAGACGACAGAGACGATGGTGCATACCCTTGTAGACACTTATATAAATAACTATGAGTAACTGATTTCTCCATCTATCATTGAGTTTACTCCATTTAAGCATGTTCATTTTTTCATTTATAGGAGTCATTATATTAACAGAAAGTACAACTCTACCTAGTCTATTTAGTAAAATTTGCAAAGTATTTAAATATTGTATATTGCAATTCGACCAAACGCAACTACAGTAATCAAAAACTGGCATCACAAGGGCATTGCAATCATAGTAAGTGTTTGGTAAGGCAAGTAATATTTGCTGATTACTAAGTTTACCACATGGCAACAGTATGCTGGTTTTGGGATGGCAAGCTTCATTTGACAAACCATCAGGCCCACAAAAAAAAAAATTGTGTTGGCCACGTTTTGGTAAATCAAAAAAATGGGTAGGTCGGTACAAAAACATTCTTTTTTACAACCAAAATAATATGTGTTTAAGCCTAAAAAGTAGAAAATACATAGATAATACCACAATTTTGGATTCGCATCGCGTACCATCCAGCAAAATATGCTAGCCTTGGCCCCCTAGCCTTGCCAAGGCTATTCTAGCCTTATCTAATATTATAGATTTAAGTATCATCAAAACAACTCTGTATTAAATAATAGAATGCACTTACCTCTCCCATGCTGTAGAAGTTGACAGGCCATGATGACTCTGGGTATATATTTTCTAAAAACCATTTGAAGCTTTTGCAATTAAGACTCTTCCTTAGAGCATGACGTTCTGTGAGATCCCCTGGGTCAGTTTTAGCCACTGAGGGCGCTATCCTATAGTAAAAATTCTTGTATTCATCAAGCCATACTTCTGCTAGTCTTTTATTATTTTTATTGACATAGTTTGTTCCAGGAGGGAAGTGATATGGCGACTTCTTCCTAAACACGTGCCCTACATGAGAACAGGGAACAAATTCAAGTGTACCACCACACATCCAAATCTATGAAAGAAAAAATTACATAAAACAAAGATAAGGTTATTGAATTCATGTATTTCCACTCAGGATGGATATAGATATAGAACAATGGAAATAAATAATAGTAATGGTAGGATATTTGTAGAAAGCACCTTCCACTATAAAACCGTCTCAAGGCGCTGACACTATACAGACCTACAGTCAGATTGAAAAAAACATAAAAACCCCCCAAAAAAATTGAAATACATAAAATTAAAATAGATACACAAAAAAGATAGATAAATGAGTAGGTCCTGGTAGTCTATATACAGATGATAGATTAAAAGGATGTACAGATATATAGATGAAAGGATGAATATTTACATAAAAGCATGAATATATGTAATTATATATATTATATGTTGTATATACACAATAGATAAAATAATGGACACATATAATATATAATGTTTAATAATTAATATATACTAATTTTTGTATCTATCTTGTAATTCCTTGTGTAATTGTAAATTGAAGTCAGATTTTAATGTCAGTACTAAATTTGTTTGTATATATATTTTTATAGCTAATTTCGTTTTTTACTGCAATTTCTATTTTTATATTTTACTTTGTAAATTAGAATAAATTTTAGAATTTATTTGTTTGCCTATGCTATTTTTTTTTATATGTGTATGTTTTTATGTGTTTGAATAAAGAAACCAAACAATAATAATACATAGTCAAATATATATGACAGATGCATAGAGGGAATAATGAATAGGCATGACAGACCGATGAATGCATAGATATACATAGTATATGGAGGGAAGACATATGAATATGGAGTAAATTGAGTCCATGTGGTGGATAAACAAAATCTATGTGCTCACTTTAAATGAAAGTTCAAGATTTTCTCCTCCCCATATATCAAAACCTGGATCATATCGGCCAAGCTCCTCAAAGTAATCCTTGGATATGGCAAACAAACCACCAGCCATTGTAGGAGACCTGTGATTAAATATTTTTTTTAATAATGAAATATACGAAAAGTTCAAATATTTTAACAAATTACACCTAATATTCAAAAACATCAACATTGAATATGCATGTTACACAAATAATGAAGTTATTAATTTTTATAATAATTACCTTCAAAAATATAATCTTATAAGAATAATACTTATTTTCAAATAAATTGAACATTTTATTATATGAACAATAATTTTTTTTTAAATGATATTATTGTCTTATTACAGTCAAAATCTATACAACAATAGAAAAAAATTAATTTAATTAATATCAAGATCAACACTGGTATTAGATTAATATCAGAAATAAACACAAAAGCATGTTGTTAATAACACACTGGGTATCACAAGTATGAATGCTACTATGGTGATGAAAACAAACAAGTTATTCTGTGTGTGTGGATAAACAAGCATTCTTCATGTGAACTGTGGATAAAAACAAATTTGAATACAACACCATAGTCTCTAAAGCTCTGTCTACACTATCAAATTTTGTGTGACCAGAAAGTGTGATATGCCCATATATGGGCATGATGACATCACACCATGACCATATATAGGCATAGCATTACTATATATGGGCTTGTCACATTTTTTTGTCAAAGAAAATTTGATAGTGTGGATAGAGCTTTAGGATGATTGGATAAAGCAAATTTATTATATATATTAAAAAAATAATTATTTGTTATCATCAAACGACTACTGAATTCCAGAATTTTACAAATATTTATATACTGTACATATTAGCTGAATTTTAGATATAGGCCTAAATATTAATATGTATATATCTTAACCTACTTTAGGGAGCAACACGATTCAGATATATAAAATGTCAATATTAATATTTTTATTAGTAAAAAAATTATATTACAATAAAGGGGACACTAATGTAGGATATATAAATATTATTTTAACAGCAAAATCAAAATAAACAAAATAAAACTATTTAAAAACTGGAAATAAATAATTTTCAATGTGGCATGCATACAAAGAAAATACTAGATAAAGATGGATAATTAGTAAATAATAATATTAATATTAATTATTATGAAGTATATGCACTTCTTATTTTCACTATGTAATTTTAGTGGATAACTTCTCTAGTTAATGGCATTACTTGAGAGAGTTGAATGAAATTAACTACGAGCAAGAACGGTAAGAGGCTTCATCTTCAACGAGAATGTTCTCAGCCTTGGAGAACGATCCAAACATCAAAGCACCATTAATAATCAAAAGAACGATTAATTCTATTCCTTAAGGTACAGACATTTGACAGATTTCATCAGTCTTATTATAGCAATAAAAACAATCTTAGGTTTCTGCTTCTAGTTCCAATATGCTATCATCCTACTTTGACACAATATCATTATAAATTGTAATTTTATAGATTATTAAAGAATAATAATTGACATTTTTATGGCGCCTTTTTATTTCATATTTAAAATTCATTTTTTGTAGAAACTATTAGTGTTTCTACAAAACTGTAATGTTAGCTTTTGATAAATTTTGTCTTTAGCCAGGCCTCAATATTTTAATGTTTCTCTGTCTTTTATCATCATGCACACGTAAAAAAACCTTCTTAAACATTTTAAATACAGCATTTAATTATTTATTACTTAATTAAGAGAACATAAAATATTTATTAATGAGAATGGTTATTATGATAATTGTGATAATGATGTTGATAACAATGATAGTGATGATGATGATAGTGATGTGGTGATGATGATGATGATGACCATCACATTTCGGAACTGCTTTTAATATAAGTAGTTTAAGTAAATTTATTTACTACTACTTGTTCTTTGTTGTAAAGCGCATTGAGCCTTTCGGAATGCGCTATAAATGAATTTACTTATTATTATTATTATCATTATCATTATTATTCTTATTATTATTATTATTATTATTATTATGTATTATCATCATCATCCTCATTTCAATGATGGTGGTGATACCGATAATAATATAGCAGAATAACATTAAATTTAATGTAACCATGTGACTGTAGTTGTTGCAATGGAAAGCTCTATAAAAATAGATCATTAATTAAATAATTAATCATCATTTAATATTCAAAAGAACTACCGCATTAACTCTATTCCTTAAGGAACAGTCATTTTACATGGCTTCATCACTCCTATAAAAACATTGACGTCAGTTTCTAGGTGCAATATATCAGCCTACATTCAGACATCAACGAATCATAATTTTGTAGATTATTAAAAAATAATATCTGTATTTCTATAATGTATTTTGCTTGCGGTTGTTTCAGGGGACCTCACATGTGCTCTTCAATTCATCTGAAAGGGTTTATCACAGAAACAGTCAGAAATATAGTATGTCATATAATTTGATGGAGGTTTGTTTTTAAGATTCACAAAAAAGGGTGCTTACGCCCCATTCCTCACCACCTCCCCCCCCCCCTTTTAATTGTTCTAAAATTGTATCTCATAGTAGTTCGCAAAATGCCCTTTCTGTATTTTAGAAAAACAAATTGCTGGCTTTAAATACAATATTTAAAAACATGGTATCAGGTAAACTAGGTAAAACATGGATTTGTAGTTACATTTGATCAGACTGTATAAGAAGGAATAGTTATTTAAAAAATCATTAAATAATTATTATCATTATTATTTATAATTATTAACTCTGTAAACTTGACCACTATCACTATATGTAAGATATTACATTAGCGTAAAATGAAATGCATACTATGTTACTGGGCATCTAAAGAATTCTTCACATGTAGTAATCTAATATATTAATTAGATTATGTATTTATCTATTCATGCTGTATTATGACACACAAAATAACAATTCAATGGTAACCATGCCAACAAGACTAGACAACAATGCAGTCAACTAAATGCATGCAATTTTCATTATGTCTTCATCATCATATTAATTGAAAACTTCATTTCTCAAAAATATATTAATATGCATTACCAATTTAGTGTCAACAAGTCTAAAATGGCACAAATGTTGCCAAGTATACTATAAATTGTTAATATGAAGCATTATGAAAAGACAAGGCAACATTAAGCATTCAACCTAAATGGAAAGAAATAGTAATTGCAAATCGTAATTAGTAGTTATGAATGGATAACATGAATATTAAAAAAATAAAGCTGAAATGCATTATTATTTAAATTTGTAAGTCTGAAAAGGAAATATACTTATTAGTAGTGGGAGTAGTAGCTATATTGTACAAAAACTCAAAAGATGGATTGGTTCTATTATTAGTTATAAATATATTGCCGGTGGTAGCACTTAATGTAGCGATGAATCTTGCACGGGGTCCCTAACATCTTATTGAAAGAATGCAGTTTCTTTTAACACAACACTGACTGAGCAATAGGAATATAGTGATATTTTAGAATAGAACTTTGGAAATTCAATAAAAACATCTATTTTTGGTATTTATAAACCTTAATTCAAAGTAGATATATTTATGACCAACTCTATATAGAGAATTCCCGAATGAATGCTTGATGCATGCATCAAAACATGGATTGCAAAAATCACACATTCTTCTTGGTATAATGTTTAGTATGGACATTAACGTTGCAAAAATCTGAATATTGGGAAAAAATCTAATTTTACACAGAATTAAATGTCTAAATATTTCTTTTGTATTTCTTTTCATTTTAAGTATTAATGGACATTGTTCTCAAGAAAGATTCGCATTCTTACCAAAAAAGAATGTTTTTATAATAAAAAAAAAAAATGACCATTTTACACAGAATTTTGTTTAAAAAGTGAACATGCATCTATATTCCCATTTACAGAAAGTGCCACCATAAGGGATATATGTACAAAAACTAAGAGATAAGTGTGGTCCTATCAGGTCCACTCATGGCCTACGAATTGGGTATACATCCAGTAACAGCATTGAAATTACAATGACATTTGTGGGATATTTCAACTATAGAACAGTAAAAGGTTCTGAAGCACTAAAAAGGTAGTATACAGTAAATAAGAGTAAACCTTATCACTTTGTGTAGAGAATGGACATGATTAGGACACCAACTATCTAAATAGACACAATCTGCGGCTCCAGTCATGTGACGTTTTGAATTTTTAACTTTTTTAAAATTAAAATTAAATTTTTTAATTTTTTAAAATTAAAATTAAAATTAAATTTTTAAATTTTTTTAAAATTAAAAACAGCAAGTAGACTCTCCACTTACAGGATGGAATAATGTCTCTTATTGAGGCGTAGGAAGTGGAGTGTATTTAGTCATGAAAAAAAGTCTTGCTGTGACAGGAATTGAAGCCAGGATCATGGTATTAGAAGGCAAGCATCTTAACCACTAAGCTATTTAAGTCTACTCTTGACTGTTATCAACAGAGTGCACTCAGTATACAGGAAAATGCAGTTTGTTCAATGTGAACCCAGTTTAAGGTACATTGTAGGTGTTAAATACAATGCACAGCTTGTTCAATGTGAACCCAGTTTAAGGCACATTGTAGGTGTTAAATACAATGCACAGCTTGTTCAATGTGAACCGAGTTTAAGGCACATTGCAGGTGTTAAATACTGTTAGTTTGCACATATTTTGCACATTCTAATGTCGATTTTCAAATCCATAACATTTCTCTTCAAATAATTTTACACAGAACGCCTTGTATGCCATATATCAACGAAAAGTCACATGATCACTAACTAGTTTTGGTCGCCAATTGTGTCTATTGAACCCAGTTGGAGAACAGGCAAAATCTGTGCAATATTAGTCTTGTTTGTGCTCTACAAGATTTCATTCTATCAGCATGCCATCTTGCGATGCTAGGAAATGTAACCTCAAGAGGCCGCATACCTAACAGGCTCAGTTGGGTCGCCTCTTCGACGTACTATTTCTCGCTTAGGGACACCGTACCACTTGAAAAATAAGGACCAACCGAATCCTCCCATCTGAGGGTCATTACCATGCTGGTAACCAAAGGTTTCATCACTGATTACATCAATAACAGGGCAAACAGCAGTGTCTCTGAGGAGAAGAAATGTATGTTTAAAGGGAATATCAATAGATAAAAATGATGGAGAATAATGCCGTTGAAATATGATCACCTCTACGCAAACTGCAGGTAGAACCCTAGGAGAAAAATAAAGTTTTGTAGTTAATGGAAAAAAGATTTTTTTAAAAAACAAAACACAGTACCGACGCTTACAGTCGTCAGGATTTTGTAGCCTCACCTTACGGGTTCCGTGGGATCACCGTGACGTCGTTGCTGCTCTCGTCTCGGAATTGCATGCCAGTTGAAGAACAACGACCAGCTGAAACCACCAACCTGAGGATCACCTGTGTGACCTCCATATCCAAATGTCTCATCACTAATTACATCTATGACAGGACATACCGATGTCCTCCTATAGGTGAGAAACATGCCATCTAAAGAGTTACTTATATTCCAAGAATACCAAGGAATCAAATATCTTTAAAACAAAAGGTATCTGTTGTTTCAGAGGTAAACTTTCTTCATTTAAATGTCATAGGTTCTTTATGTCTTAATTTTATTTATTTATTTTATTTCTTTAATTGATATGTAGCCAAACAGGATTTTAAGATGCTTATAGTTGAGAGCCAAAATACAATTCAAAACGACAAATTTTGTATATGTTTTAAGTAGCTGAAATAACAAAAGAAATATCCTAAGGGATGAATATAAAATTGTTCAGGTTACAAATGATTAAGAAAATTAACATCTAGGATGAGGTGCAGGAGACTGAAGCACATAAAATCCTAATGGATATTTCCCTGAGGATATTACATCATTCTTTAATGATAATTACATTTAACATTTTGAACTCTAAATTTACAAGTCCTTTGATGTTTGTTCCTCTGCGTATTTTTCTGGAGAGGAATTTCAGGCATGTTAGGACTAAGAGTTGTTGGCAGATCATTTTGTTGATGATGTTAATTCTTGTTCTTGTTAATTTTGGTTATACTTTTGTTGGAATTTGTGGTGATAAACACATGTAAAAGGAAGTGGCTTGGGCATAGGTCTAACAGGAGTACTGGTAATACTGGTTCAAAGACAATGACCTCAGTTTAAAACTGCTACAATGCTACAGGCCCAAGGCTACTGATGCTACTGTAGTAAGACCAAAGCTAATGATGCCAGTAACCCAATGCTGGTGATTCTGCTTGACCAAAGGCTGCTAGCAGTACTGGAATAAGGCTAGCGCTGCTACTGGTCTGGAAATAGTGGTGCTACTTTCAGCTCAATCATCAGAATAAATTGGAAAACTTAAGTCAGTATTTAAGCATAAATTAGGTAACATTGCATTTACTTTAAAAACATTTGGAGTAATATATGAGCAGTTAAAATACAGTAAATGACCCAGTAAGCGTTGCAGTGCTTATAAAATCCCTGAAGATTTCTTCAGTGCTGCGCATTTGAAATATGGGGCATATTCTAGAGCAGTGCTTAATACAAAATTGGACCACTAAAATGGAACGAATTGCTGTACATAGGCCATCTGTCTTGTTCTAGGAGAAATCAGTTATTTAATAGTTTCACAATGATACAAACATCAAAATCAACATGTGTAATATGTATTCTCTCAATTAAGCACCACAATGTTTATTAAAAGTAGAATTTCTAATAAGTGCCTCTGCATGTATTTGAGGAATGCTTAGCAAAAAATATTGTGGCACTTATCGGATCGTTTGCGGTATTCCAATTCACTATGTTGAGTAAAAAATAGTTAAATTGCTTACTTTGTATATTAGTGTTCTTCCAACAAAAATATTAACAAGAAATTAAATTTCTTATTTAACAGTATGCATAAACCATATCTTTCCTTTATGATTTGCAAAGAAAATCTTTCAATAGAGAGAATTTGGTTTTCTAGTTGTTAAACTAGCATACATACCATTCTTGTATGTTTTTTAAAGGAAATTATTTAATACAAAATTTTAAGAAATTGGTTTTCTAGGGCTAGTTAAACAGTTTGCATATATAATATTGTTCATATGTTCTGCAAAGGAAATCTTTTCAATCGAAAATTCAAAAAAGAAATTTGTTTCTCTGCTAGTTAAACAGTATGCATAAGTAATGTCGATCTTCTTAGAATAGGAAATTGACCTACGTATCATTGGAAGTTGTTGACATTTTGATCTACTTACATAAGCAACTCAATTTACTTTGATTTTTGCAGGGTTTTTTAAGATTTTACTTCATATATCTTTAAGTATGAGGTAGTATTTCTGATATTAAAATCATAACATAAAATTATCATCAATATAGATTGTTACCTATTAGCATGTATTCTTGCCAGGAGGGGTTCCATCCACCCTTCTGTAACCTCACAATGCGAATCCAGAAACACGAGTACGTTTCCCTTGGCGACATCTGCCCCTCGCATCCTAGCACGGATCAATCCTGCGCGTTTTGGCATACGTTGAATATTGATAGGCACTGGTAACTTTGCAACATACTCTTCCAACTTCTTGCCAAGATGTTCTGAGAAAAAAAATTTTTGCTGTAAATATTTGGAACTATCATTTCCCTACATTTTGCAACTATGGAATTTGAAATTCTCTTCAATATTTTTTTTTTTTTTTACTTTTTAACCATGCTAAGTACAATAAAATAATATTGATACTGACATGCTATCACAATCATCAAAGGTAACGTCAGTTTGAATGGAAGTACTCTTGAAAAAAATGAAGAACATATTATCTTGATTAGAAGCCCATGGGCTTCTTTTCGAGATTACTTTTTCAAACTGAAGGGGGGGGGGGCGCTACTTTTCGAGATGAGATTCTTCTCAAGATTAAAGGCCATTGGGATTCTATTATACATTGATATTCTACATTGTGAATATCAATGTATATTAATAAAAATAGGCATTGTTGACATTCTAAACATGTTCTTTTTTCCTGTTGTACAGGAAGTACGATTTATTGATGTTTTCATCATGAATATAAGATGGCAGCCATTTTCACACATGTCGCAAGTCTTGTTTGATGTTAAAAATCTGACTGCACTTCTTTACCCCATGTCAATTTTAAAGAAAAATTAATAATGCTGTACAATACTAACTACCAATGCTCATCAGACACGGTGCTCAGGAATTGAAATGGCTGATGCAGTCATCCAGAGAGGAATGGAATTTCCCTTGGAAAAAAGTTAATTCTTATTTAATGAAAATGTTCATACAACTGTGGATTACACACAGAATATGAACAATTACATGAATGATGTGAATGAACTGAAATAATAATTAAATAATTATGTCTGAAACACTTTTTAAAATGTACAGTAATGGTTTATAAGTCAGCAAAAATCTAACAATAATGAAGAAATAAAATCATTTGTTTTAAATGAAAATGAATAAAACCATGTGATGGTTTTTACCTAAGCCTAGTATAGGCTAAGAGATTAAATCCAATATGTGCATTATATATTAGGCAATAATTAGTTTCAATAGCTCATTAATTTCTCTCTACAGTCCTGAGATTTAAGCAAATTAAGCAGTTTGCTTTGATGCTAGGCCTACATTGTTTTAGCTCTACAAACAAAAGCCATTTTCAACTGTATTATTCATTTTGTAAAGGTAGATAGTACTTCGCATAAACAATGAAATGAATATTGTTGGACTACTGTATATCATAAAGGATAGAGCATAAACAGACTATACATTAGACCATTAGACTAAACTGGTGAATGAATAGGACAGGAAAATTGCATTGGAGGGACTATCCCTGATTGACTTAAATAACAATAAAATTAATATCTCAGACACGGGTGGGGGAGCAGGAAAAGGAAAACAACATGGCTACACCATGGACCTATTAATAGGGTCCATGGCTACACCAAAGCTACAGACACTTTGCATGCAGGAAAGACAAATTAAACATTGTTGTCCTTTTTACCAAATGTTTACAGCAGCTTTTTTGTCTGGGAAAAGATAAATTAACATTACTACAACACCATGGAAGACAATAGCTTTTAAATGTGAATGGTTCTAAACACCAAACATATTTATTTACATTCTTCTTACAGTAGATTGATTTTATATTAAGTAAGACTGATTTCAACAAATAATTGTATTATATAAAACCTGTCATAATATTAATAATTGCGAATTTATAAACAATGCAAAATTTATAGACCTAATTTGCTTTTCAAGCCAGGTGCAATAAAACAAAGGTGAGAATTATTTTCATAATTTACCTAATAGTCTTTACTATTCATTGGCTTACTATAATAATTCCTCAATTAAATTTTTTATTCTTTTCACAATCTGTCCTTTATTTTTCATATCATTTCTTTTCATTTTCCTTTTTTTCCGTTTCCATTTCATTTTATTTCTTTTTCTTTTCTGTTTATTTACTTTCCTGTTATGATGCCTATTATTTTTAACATGCTTTCTATTTATTACAAAAATGTAATAAAAGTGCATATAAAATTTTATGAGAAATTCAAATTATAGTTCTAATGTAGAAATGTAGTTCCATGTTCTGTAGTATTTTCTTAATCACTGCAATGTATCTATTTCTATATCCACAACTGACAACTAATAAAATATATGTATCAATATAACAATATACAGTACAAATTATAGACCTACACGACATAAACCAAATCTTGTTATGAGGCTTCAGGAGTTAATACATTAAAAAAAATTCCTATGGTTTTTAATAGGTTTGAATACAGGACCCTGGGATTAGAAGGCAAGCATCTTAACTACTAAGCTACAACTAGCTCAACTCTTTTAGATCTTAATCTCAGAATATTTTGAATTTGAAAAATATAATTAAGAAGAATAATATACAAAAAATTCTATGGGATAACAATTTCATTTGTAGATTATTGATCCTATTATTCATATTGAAGATTTAGTATCATTATACTCTTGATTGGATAATATTTTGGTGTTAAAAGATGACCTGTGACATTGTTTATGCACGTCATGGTGCAAAAAGCAGTATGCCCACTTGGATGATAGAACTCAAGACTTACCCCTTTTCAAAAATGATATACTTAATCATCATATACAATTTAACTTTTATGGTTCATGTCTTTGATTCAATGATCAAAGAATTTTTTTACTACTATTTTTGGAACTCTACTTATTAATATTAAATAATTTTCAACAGTGATATAAATCATATTCAAAACAATACATATAATATGTTTCCAAATCTAATATGTTTTGTTTTCAGTGATCAAAGAATTGTTTATATATTGCTATTAAGTAACTCTACTTATTAAGTGCACTGGACAATTTGAAAAAAAAGCATGATACGATGCACTATGCCTCTTTTTATACTTTGTTTCGCAAACCTATTTTTTAAAAGATCGTCAGGGGAAGGTGAAAAAAAAAATTAAAATGAAATTTTTTTTTTTCTTTAGAAAATAGTTTTGTCAAAAACATCAAGATGGAGGAAGAAATAAAACAAAATTTTATTGTTGAATGTAAACAGTGTAATAATAGGATGGCTAAATGCTTTAAATTTATATAATTAAGAAAGAAATAATACATCTTTTTTAGGAGATTTTGAGGCAGCAGCGGGCATAATAAAAATAAAGAAAAACTTCTATTTTTTTCTGAAATTCCCAATTTATAGTAGCGGTGGGTGTGGTAATTGGCCAAAAATTTGAAATCATCATTATTGGCAGGTGGCGGGTTCACTAAACAACGTATAAAAAAATCTCATCTTATAATGTTTATTATTCATTAAAAAGCATTTGTAATACAATGACAACTGACATGTAATTTAAAACAAAAATGCAAGTTTTATTATTATTCTCCTCAGCAAAATTTTTCGTAATAAAATATGAGACAGCAATTTAAATGATAAGGTATGTAGGCCTTCCATGAAGCAGTGTTTTATGCAATGGCACCTCATTCACTACCTTACCACCTGTTAAAATTTGTTTCAACATATAAAAACATAAATTGAAATTGAGTTTTTTTCTTTAGCAGAATTTAAATAAAAATATGGATGTTTAATTGGTGAATGAATTTACTATCAAGAAGAGAATAAAGTTTTTCAAATATTAAAAATATTTCCTCCCCTAATGAGAAAATATGGGACAAGAATTCTTGTCAACATTTCATTCTGCAAATGCAGCATTTTCTGACATTACTAGTGAAACGTAAGGAAAAGGCCTTGGCCTAGCCAGAGTCAAGTGAGGAAACACATTTATATAATTATATTATAGGAAACTAATAGAAGAAGAAGTCTGAATTATAACTATCAACATAGATTGTGTGGACGATCGCCAACAATCTACAGTACTTCATAGTAACACAGATCTAATATCAATGAATTACTGTACTAAGGAGTGATGCGAGTACTTTCTAGAGATTAACAACGCTTGTATTGTACAGTATGCATGTTTGGTTGTCACTATACTTCACTTCAATGCAGTGCTGTTAACCTGTAGACATTCAGTGCAAGGCTTCTGTCATACCAAAATAACTTTTTCAATTTCAAAAGACTGCGAAGGTGATCATGCAACTACAGTACAACTTCGCTATACTTTGTGTTTCTTCCTGTTTCTGCTACAGTATGAGATTGAGAACCACTGATAGTATTAAATCTAAAGCCTTTAAAATCCATTATACCTACAGTATGTAGTAATCTATAGATTTACAGTGATTATTCAATAATGAGAACAGATAATAAACTAAGCTTCAATCACAAAATTTATCAACATGCAACTATTTAGTATTACAACACCTGTAAAATATTCTATTAATTTCATTGGTTACTGGTACTGTACAACTTCATCATACGGTACTGTTATGTTTCTTAATGTTTGTTACAGTATGAGATCTACAATTACTAAATATAAAGCCCTAACAATCCATTACTTATGCAGTAATATATAAAGGTACAGTGATTGTTCAATAAATGAGAACAGATAATACTACACTAAGTTCAGTCACAAACTTCATCAACATGTAATAGTACTGTACAACTTCATCATACGGATGTTTCTTCTTGTTTGCTTTAGTATGGTAAGATATACTACTGTAATACTAGTATTTAAATCTAAAGCCCTAAGAATCCATTGCCTATGCATTAATCTATAAATCTACAGTGATTGTTCAATAATGAGAACAGATTAATAAACCAAGCTTCAGTCACAAAATTAATCAACATTAATGTACAACTTCATCCTAATGTACTATTGTGTGCTTTTTTTTGTTTCTGTTATTAATATGAGATCTACAATACTATTTATTTAATCTAAAACCTTTAGAAATCCATTTCCTACTGTATGCATAATAATCTATATAAATCTACAGTGATTGTTCAATAATGAGAACAGATAATATTCAAAATGCACCAGTCAACTACGCCATCAACACGCTATAACAGTACACATCCTGACATTCTCTATGATGTTCAACAAACATAATCATCATTCTTAATGTCCCATTGATACTTTACTAAATGTATAAAAAAAAAATCTCATGAAGATATTTTTGTCTATGATAATACATGTTAATTGGAGAGAAAAATATTTCCTCAATTCTATTACGTACAACGTACCATACATCTACAAGTAAAAAACCTGAATACTTAATTTTATTGTTCAATTGCTCTTCTCAAAAAGGACTTTTACATACTCTGCTAAAATGTGAAATAAAATGGAGTACATAAGTTCCTCAACTGCATGTAAACATTAAAATAATAATAATGGTTTTTTTTCAAAAAGGCATGTAGAATTTGACAATTTGGCAAAAAAATTAAATAATACTAACCTTGATCACTGGCATCATCAACTAAAATTATTTCACTTAAAAGATCTCGTGGAGAACGATTTATGATACTGTGAACATTTCGCAACAGCGTACTCCAAGCCTCATTATGATACACCAAGATCACGCTTGCATCTGGCAAGTTTTTGGAATACACTTTGTCTCTGCATCTAAAATCAAGATGGATAATTATTACTATAAAGTAAATATATTTTGCACTATCTTTGTAAAGAATATTAAATTCGATGTCCACATCTATTTACAATTTATTTTTACAATTTATTTATATTATTCATTTTTTATAAATTAATTAATCTATTTTTGTGTATCGCCTAATATCACAGGTATCATCACTAATTAATTGTAAATGTTAATGCTAAATTCATATTCAAGTGATTAATACTTGATGTCTCATGTGAATTAGGTATATAATTAAAGGATGCAAAGCAAGGGAGAACATTTTTTTTTAAAATCATTTAAATAAGCTGTGATCATTTGAATAAGCTTTTCAAATATCACTTTGTAAACATCATCATTGTAAACATGAAATGAATATCAAGATTTCTATTATAAATATCACTGTCAGCATAAGAACTACTTCATTATTTTTTAATTATTGAGGAGTCGAATGGCTGAGTGGTTAAGGCAGGGGCCCCATAATCATAGCCAACAATAATGGCACGGAACCGGCCGGCTCGCTCCTATAGTTCTGGTGGTGGAACAAGTCTTTTCGGATAAGGACTATAAACCGTAGGCCCAGTGTTCACAAATGCTCATGTGCACTTAAAGTCTTTCTTTTAAGATTAGTAGGGGGGGTTACCCCGGTGTACTGGCCAATACAGCTTCTGTTGTCTTGTGATGGGACTGCCATTTTGAAGAGTGATTTAGTTCACTGATTGGCATATCCTTGACCCTCGTGCCTAAAGCTGAATAAATAAATCAATCTATTTTCTTCTCTATTCTGTGAATGTAGACTTCTATTATACAGTAAATGGCATTTAAAAAAAATTATACAATAAAAATATTAAAATCATAATTTATATATTTCCACTTCAGGGTCACAGTACATTAGTAATGTGGTACTCATGTGGTACACTAATAAAACTCAGTCATCATCATTGTAAACATGAAATGAATATAAAGATTTCTATTATAAATATACCATTGTCATCATAAGAACTACAGTACTTCATTATTTATTATATTATTATTTTAATTATCAATCTATTTTATTTTCTATCCTGTGAGTGTAGACTTCTGTTGTATGGAATATTTTTTAATTAATACAATAAAAATGTTAAAATCATAGTTTATTTACAGTATTTTCAATTTAAAGGGTCATGGTACTTTAATAGTAGTTAGATTTTAACATTTGTATCAAGATTCACAGCCAAAATAAAGTAATAAAAGGCAGAATAAAAAATATTAGTCATTCAACAAGGTTGATTGTGCCATGGCATTATACTGTACATTCAATTTTATTTATCTATGTTCCTACTGTACACTGACTATACTGTACGTGGCAGAAAGCAGGTTAAAAAGCCATTCAGAAGTGTAATATAATTGAATAGAAAAAACTGCCTTCATTCTTTTGTCTTCACACCACATGTTACAATACACATCAGGAGTTTATGACAAATACTGTACACAGGCTAAATACAGTTACTATTATAAACTGCCGGTTGTGTCCACGTGGCAAACATGGTGCACAATTGTTTACAAAAATCAATATTGGAGTAATTGTAATTCCTATGTCACTACAGAATTATACCAGTACCATAATTTCCTACAATTTAATTCATTTAGTTAAACTCCATGTTTCAGCTGATCAATTTGAACAACTTTTCACAAATGTTAAACTTAATTAAAAGAATTTTAAATTAAAATGAACACAATGCATAACCTTCAACTGCTGTATTTGCTGAGGCTTCAATAAATTGAGCATTCACTGGTGATTGTTGAATACTCATTATATTCTTTATTTATCTTCAAAATATGAGGCGTACCATCAAAAAACCAGTGTACTATTATAGTGCAAATATTTTAAACTGATTAAAGTATTAGAATTTCTTACTGAAGTAACATTACCATACACTCAGAAGTCATAATCTTTATAGTCATAGCTTTGGCAATAGTTATTCAAGTCCAGTAAATGACCCATCATTATTACAATTCAAAGAATATTGATAATTTTTTATTTATTTATTTCCTAGGCAATGGATGCAGGGGCGGATCCAGAGATGTCCAAAAGGGGGGGCCGAAAGGGGGGCCGAAATTTGGGCTGATCGAGACAACAATGTCCTAGGGGAAATTTTTGTGTTCTAGACGCCCGAAAATAACATTTGAGGTGTTGTGGGCTATCATTTTTTTCTTTTTCTTTCTTTTTTCCTTTCTTTTTTTTCTTTATTTTACCTTCCAAAAGGGGGCCGGGGCCGGGCCGGCCCCCCTAAATCTGCCCCTGGGATGCTAGTTTTGGGATGGCACACCTCATATGTACTTATATCCATTTGGATTGTGTTCAAACACTAATGACAGGTTTTTGAAAAACACAAATAATGTTCCAAGTACCCTTCATACTATGATAATATTGCTCATTTATATAGTATTTTTCCTTTACTATTGAACAGTGGTTTATCTGTTATAGTGAGATTCCATGTCATTTACAAATGACCATTTGATGATCTTTACCTTAAGCTTTGTCTACACTATCAAATTTCATCGAAAAAAAAAGCGTCACATAAAATTGGATGGAACATAGAGTTGAACACGTTCAACTTTTTTTTGTACAATTTGATGATTGTGTTATGAAGTCATCATACCCATATATGGGCACATCACATTTTTTTGTCACATAAAATTTGATAGTGTAGACAAAGCTTTACTGTACCTTAACAGTGATGAAACTGAGAGTATTTATCATCATCGCAAATTGCAAACTGAGCAAGTCATTTAACATTGGATCTAACAAGTGATTATACTAAGTGAGTGATATTTATCGCAAACTGCATAAATGTATAACACTGGATCTAGTATGTGACTCTACTAAAGTTTAAACGATATCATTGTAAAGTGCAAATGTACAAGATATTTTTAACATAAGTTTTTGCAGAAATATAAAAAGTGATGATACAGAGCAAAATCAACATCATAAATTGCAAACTTTATACTTGAACAATCCTTTACAAAGAATGAAAAATAATTTTTTTTAAAATGATGTTTTCTTTAAGCAAAATGGAACTGACAATAGCATTTTCAGGTGATAGAAAAATGTTATTGACAATAAAATAGGTTCACAAACTTTTCTGAAATGAAAGTAACACTGTACTGAAATTTTGTTGACAGTACACTTTTACTTTTTGTTGTCCATTGGGGCCATTTTTATATCTATTAAAAGTTGTAAGCCTTTTTCACAACAGTGATGAAAATTTCTACCTAGTATTTGTTAATTGGGGCTATTTTTACTTATTTTTCAATTATGCTCTGTTTAAGTACAGCCATTTTTAAAGCTGTGGAGCCATTTTTACTGGGGCCATTTCAAATGGAACCTACTGTATTCTATCAGGGCTATTTTTACCGTTGCAATCCTTTCTGAGGAAATTTTTGCTGTATAACATTTTTTTAATGCAATACTTTTATATATTTTATCTAGCACATGAGCCATGGATTGCCATTAGCAAATTTAATCAAGTGTCGTATATTAAAGTGGAAATGCATTTCACAAGACATACAGTACATAGAGTACTCTACATTATACAAAGGAGGCTAAAGGACCAGGAGTGAAATGTTTTGTCATTTCATCAGGTGTAGTTGGTGTCTCATTGTATTAAATAAAAGAAAAATCACTAAGCAAAGATAAAAGAAGTTAATGTTAACTCTAAGAATTGTACAGAAGTATTAATTTCTCACATGAAGATAAACACAATACTATACACTACCTTTTTTAGAAGTTTAATAATCTTAAGTGCCAGATCTCAGGATTTTTTTTCATTCAAAGCGGCCAAATGGATGGCATTGACATGCATAACATAGTATCTTTTGAATGACTGATTTTCAAAATAGATATTGACAAAAATAAACAACTATACAGTATAATCTAAATTCTAGGCCAAAAATTTATGTAAACAACAATTGTAAAGGGCACACTTTTCTATCGCATTAGTACCTGTAACACATTTTGTGATGTAACCTGTTTTGAAGATAGTTAAAAACATTTAATTATTTTTGAAATTGATCTTACAGTAATAAGAAACCTGTGCAATGGGAAAAATAAAAATATAGGGAGAAAAATATTTCATAATATTTAAATAATTCAAGATTGAACTTACTGTCTTGGCCGGACATCTGGTAATGACCTGTTTAATGCAACTCTATCACTTGCCATTAAGTTAAATTCGTTTATTTTGAATAATCTTTCAGCTTCTGCCTTATTTTCTTGTTCTATAATAACCGGCTTTCCCATTTCTCCGGGTGCATCTAAGTTGATCTGCCGTGGCACATCTTTAATAAAGAAAGAGGAAAGTTACTTTAAAAGCAAAATTATTTTTAAATTGTTGAAAATATTCAGGAATGTTAAAGACGTATACAGTCTATGTTGCTTTACTTTGAATGATAACTTTTAATTGAGAATAAGAACGTGAAAGAATTTTACTTTTCAATAAGCTAACACATAAATGATAATGTTATATAAATGACGCTTGCCATTCCAAAACCACCATACTGTTGCTAACTGTAAAACTGAGTAGTTAGCATAAGATTAGAATGTGGCTTTAGTACAGATAAGCCGTAATACTTTTAATAATGCTTTGGCAATTAGTAGTCGATTACAGTATGACCCACCACTTTGAAGAGCTTATAATATGGAGAATAAGAATATGTATACTAAAAGTCAATTTTCACTTTTTTTCGTCACTAATGCTGGTGGCCTCATATATTTTGTATTAAAATTTAATTTTCCTAAATTGAGACTCGTGTACAGTACAGTTGTACTGTATATTTAAGCAAAATTCAACAAGTTATTCCAGATTTTTTTTTTATATACTTGACTATAATTAAAGTTGTTTAATAATTATATAAATACAGTAGTTTTTAGAACTGTTTTGATCAAAGAGGTATTTTTCATTAATAACATATTAACCAAAATGTACATTTCAATAAAATTCTTGTTATTATATAATGCAATTTTGGAAATAATAATTAGTACACCTTTTAGAAAACATAAATTATATTTAATATGGTATAAATGTATCGCCAACAACAAAAACTACAAAATCTGACCTTGTTATCCTTACACAGTGATACTACTACATGTATATCAGCAGTGGCGACATGCAAGGTTTTTGAAAAGGGAGGTGCTGAAAAGAAATATTACATCCCCTGAACTTTACAGAAGGCGGTAAACTAGGGAAGGAGCATATCAATGGCTATGACTACACCATTAATTTACTAAATTTTTTTTTTCGCGTTTGAACAGAAAGGAGGGTGGTGGAGGGTGCTCAGGCATCGTGAAAATCCCCTGTGTATCTTTACATTGTCCCTTCAAATGGTTTGTAATTATTTTAAGGTTTTTCATAGTTTATCTTTCGTGGTTGAACTTTGTCTCACAAGAAGTTGATAATAATTTGAATCTTTGATGAGCAAACCTTTTTTTTTCAGTTTTGAAGATTTTGAAGACCTTTGGATATCGTAACATTATTAAACAATTAAATATTATAAAATAAAGTCAATAAATAAAATCTTGATTAGATACAATCCAACATTAGAGAAAAAAGGTTATATTCCTTTCTCTTCCAATAAGAACACTACTGTTTTTGTTTCATTCTCAATACAAAAGTTGATTGATCAAATTATAATTTGAATGGTTATTTGATTGTCTCTACTACTACTATGGTATTACCCTGTAATGGATAGCATTTTCAGTGCCTCTTCCTGTAAAACTATCCACACACTAGCATTCTCTTGACATTACCCTGTTCAGTAACTATTGAAAATGAAACACTATCCATGTGCACAGTAGAATATCATTTGACACAGTCCTATTAAGCAACTATTCTACACAGTTCAAACACTAGCAGTCAGCACATCGTTTGACATTTTCCTGTTCACTAATTACAACATTAGTACACTACTATCCACGCACTACCAACATTAATTGTCTTGTTTTAGTGATTGCTCCAGGAATTTACAGACAAGGAGTTGAATATGTCAAAGAAGGAGAGAAAAAAACCAATTGGCCCAAATGGTAAAATCCTGGTCAGGTGTAAAACTATCCAAAAGGACAGAGAAAAACCAACTGGCCTACAAGGCCTAGTCGGGATTCGTGGGTGAACTCCACAATGTAGATCAAGAGATCAAGCTTAGGATGGCTGCAAATTATGCTTTTATACAAAAGTGAATCTACCAGTACTGTATAATCATGTTAACTTTTATTTGATGAGCAAATTAATATTTTTAGTCCATTGAACTCAAATGCCATTTGACAGCAGGAGATCTAAGTTCGTCCAACCATGGAAGAAAGAAAGAAGCTTTTGTTCAACATGGGAATTCTTTTGACCCCTGCTGGTGTAACTACTGTTGTTAAGAAACACAATTTATACAAATGTCATTTTTTCTATTCTGTTCAAGTCGAGTGGCCGAGCAGAAAAGGCAGGGGCACCAACCAAACTACTGTACAGCATTAACATCGGCTCGTTCTAGCCGCTGATCACCCAGGGTTCGGTTGATACAACCACTCTGAGACAAGGACTTAAAATGGAGGTACAGTGTACAGTGTACACAATTGGCTCATGTGCACTTTAACGAACCCACTGAATCCTTTAGAAGCGTAAGGGGTTACCCCAATGCTATGGTTCATTTTAGCCCGTTGTGGAATGATGTGAACATGTACTGTACTGTAGTTGCAATAAGCGAATCTTTATGGCAGCTAGTCACAGAACAAGTCCATACACAGTTATGTGTTGTTTTCTTACCTCTACATCTATTCAGTAATGTAGCACTACCAGGAATGTACTGAAGAGAGTGTGAATGTAATGCACTGATTAATTCAGATAGAGCAAGTTAATTCATAAAGCTGCATATCATCCCTCTTAATATTTAATCTGCATTTTTTATGGAATGAATCAATTACAGTATCCAAAATTAAGAAGCCATGAAGTTATACATTATACATAAACTACTTTAATAACATCTAAGGCAATGTTATAAATATATTTATCACAAAAGCCTATTCTGTAACATGAACAATACACCTGAGAAATGAATTGCACAGCTGTACAAATCATTGATGTCATGATGTAGGATTAATCCTCAGTTAATGGATTTATATTCAACTCTCATATCAATGTTTGTGAGCCTTAATATCAAAATCTATATTCATGTCTCATTGCTTGGATTATCAGGATTAAATGAAAAGAAAACAATACAATAATTTTGAACTTTGACAAAATCATTAATGAAATTGCTCCCGTCCAAGAAGTGACAAATTATATTTTCTAACTCTTCCTCTGCCTTAATAACATTCCACTTCATATTCCGCATCCTTCACCACTGAAGGCATTCCAGAGCATTGGTATCGCCCCAATGTACCATTCTGCGTTAAGCCCTACCCTGTTAAGATCACTAGAAATCAATGCAGTAGGGCTCAGTCATTAACTTGTGTGTTTATAAATTATAGGCCACGTGCATAATTCTGGTCCCATGTACTCAATACCAAGTTTCATTGGACTGTTGTTTAAGTTTATTTAAAACTCTGAACGTCCATTCGTTTTAGATGCAGGGTTAAATAAATGTAATGGGAAATTTTTTGGGAGAGTAAAGTATTTAGCCACCTCAGTGCTAGCATAGGAAAGTAATGCTAAATGGATTTCTTTTATGTTGATTAAATTATTAGCAGGCTGGATTGAAATTGCTCAAAAGACAACTGAAGAAACCCAAGGTAAAAGTTTGGGAAAGACCCTTTTTTCAAAAAAAGTTCAATAGACAAAGTACTAATAAAGACACGCGATACATGAGCCTTTGTATAGCACATTTAACATTGGTACATAATCACTAAAGAAATAATTCTGTTGAACTACATGTGATATGTGGAGACAATTACATTGATAATATTAGTGGATATCTTGGCACAATGGCCAGTAAATGTGTGGTTGTGAGTTCGGGTCCATTGCTAGCCGCATTGTTTGCATCCTTGGACAAGACTAACTACATTTTTTATACTCAAGATCATAAATGGGTATTCAATAATATTCAATACACAAAAATAGCAACCAATTGTTATTTAAAATGTATGAATAGTAGAATAATGGAGTGACTACATTTGTGCTAGTGTACAGTATTGTGCTAAATAATAGACGCACAACACTGTGCATGCATGGAAGAAAACAATTATCAGTACAGTACAGTACACTTGGGATGATAATGTACTTAGTCCAGAGCAAATTACATCTTAAAAGGAGGTCACAGGGGGATGCCTATTTATTACCAGTAATTAATAATATAATGTTGATTTTAATAATATAATGTACTGTAGTAACCAACAATTCCAGCTTGTAAATCCCTTGCTGTGCTTCAACTGGCCTCCAAAGAGATGACACATCAGAGATTTTTTTTTCTGATGTTTGTACAAATATTATTTTTCCAGTTGCTATGATTAACACGAAATGACAATTTTGTTGGAAAGTACTATGTATGATGCATAATTTATGAGCCAACTACAGTGTAAAGGGCAAACCTAATACTGTACATGACTGGAATATTTACAACTTTTCAGAGCACTATCTTTAACAGTCTGCAATCAATTCAGGGTGAATAATTGTTTTCTCAACAAAATTTCCATCTGGAGCAAGTTACAATTTCAATTTTATTGAGGACTTTTTTTTATTTCTTGTCTGACAATTTACAATATATTTAAAAGGATTACTGATCTATATTACAGTACTGTATCTTTAATATATTCAGTAAAGAAGACATAGTCAACAGATGTAACAACTGAATTTAAAATGAATAAAAAACAAAATGGCAATAAACTACAAGATACCATAAATTAAGGTTACAGTAATTTCAAAATAAGCTGTAAAAATGTATATATTTAAGTCCTTACCAATCTGCTTTTTGTCCTCTGGTTTCCTATATACCCACTCATTAGCATTTTCAACAATACGCTTCACAAGATTTGCATCCTCTTCTTTAATGCTCTTTTCACATGTGGGACCAATGCAAGGAGCAGAATAATATAATACAGCTACAATATCAATAAACACCCATATCATGGATGTTGCAAGTATAAGTTTACACTGCCTTTTTTTGGATATCATCTTGATTTTTTTTTTATTAGTTCTTGACTATTGTATATAAACCACTGGAACAAAGAATTGATACAAAATAATACCTGAAAATAAAAACAAAAAGAAATATAGATGAACACATAAAAAAAAATCATTGAAGAATCAAATCGAATACTAAACTGAATTGAATTAAAAAGAATTTATAAAAATATATTTAAAATGTATCTGGTTCATTTCTTACCATTCCCTGGCAGTAATATACCTGACTGAATAGTATGCATTGTCTACATTAATAAAGACCTACGCCTTCAACTACTACAGTAAATATCACTCGGGACCACCTGATACTACATAAAAACACCAATGTGTGATTCTGCATAAAATAAAAAATTGTGTAGGTTGAGGTAATTACTTTTATTTTTAATAATTATAAAACAAGTGTATTGATAATGGTTTCACTTCGCTCCACAATAATCTACAACTGTAACACAAAAGCAATGTTGTTGTTTAAACTGTGTTTGCGGTAAAATCAGCACTCCATTCTCAAACTTTGTCAAAATAACTAAAAATCTTATGATTTCAATCATTTTCTATAATTGGCATATTAGGATTTTATTAATATTATTCAACAAGTACATAATGTACATATTCAAAAAAGGGTCCTTTTAAATCCTAGTAGTGCCTTGCTTCACAAATATCTACAATTTTACACACATACAATACTCTTGTTAATTGTGTTCAGTAAAATTTACAGTATGCAATATTGATATACTTCATTCTCAAACTTGGTCAAAACAACTAATGTAAAAATCTTATGATTCAATAATTTTCTATAATTGATATGTTAGAATTTGGTTAATCGACAAATGTACATATATATTCAAAGAAGGGCCTTTCTAAATCCTAGTAGTCTAGCTTTAGGTTTATAAAATATTTAATACGAATTTTTAAAAAATCACCAAAACTGAAATTTTCCATTTGAATCCCATCCTGTGAGTTGCAAAAGAGTTGCAAAAGAGCTGAAAACCTACAGTACACATTCAGCAAGAATTTGCAGCAAACTAATCCCATTATGTGATCACAGCCAAATACGAAAGATGTGTTAGATTTCCCTAATATTGCTTCTCCCAATGTAGGATGTCTGAAAATCAATGACTCCAGTGGTGGCTCAAATTTTCTATACATTTTATTTATGTATATATTTCATTTTGTGTTTGTAAATGATAAGTAACTATTATAAACTTCATATTGAATAAATTTAGATGAGCAAAAGTTTGTGCAATGTTTTCAAAAAATGTTAATATTAAAATCACCTGGTAAAAAAAATTTAACATTTACCTAAACAGTCATTTGGAATTTTCTAAACACATCAAAAATATCACAAAGGAAGGCAAGAACCTACAATTAATTTTATTTACATCTGAGATAAAAATGTTTGTAAACCTAGCCTACAGTATATAAGGCATTAAGTGGTACTACTAGGCCTACTGTAGTAGTAAAGGTAGGCCTAGGTTAGGCCTAGCTAGCGCCATACTAAGTTTTTTAATTGTCCAGATGATACATAAAAAACCCAGCTCAAATTTGCACTAAAAATAGGTGCGCAGAATCATAATCACTGCCTAATACAGTCATTGTTTATATATTGAGATTAGGTCAGTCTATTTTTTGGCAAAATCAAGGCTGAAATCGGATTTCTTCTAGGCCAAATTTTTGCACAGAGGATATATTCCCTGACTCAGCATACCTTACTTTACAGCAGGGAGTTGTTAACAGTCTGGAGCTAGCATAGGCCTAATTATATTAGTAATACTTAGTAAATGTGCCCACAATGGAATAATGCTAAACAATAAAAATGACAACTAAACATGACCCAACTAAACTAGGCCTATAGTAAAAGTTAAAAACTCCTGCTATACTATCCTAGGGCTAGATTTTTACTAGAAATAAAATAATAAAATCCAGTTTATTGTTAAATTGATTCTCTGCCCTAGCCCTAACTAAGCCTGGCCCTAGTACTAGGCCTAGGCCTAGGGCCTAGTACTTAGGTTAGCTAAGTAGTTAATAATTAACTAGGCCTACAACCAATACAAGTGTTGCCTCACTAATACACGTCACTAAACAATGTTCTGTCATGGAGGAAAGAAACTCCATGGTTCAGCCAACAAAAGTAAATTCCTCATGAATCCTCCTTTCCAGCAGTAGGCCTGTCTGGTCTAGGCTACGTGGAGACTGTTCAGTGTTGCTGGGCCTCCCAGAGCTAGGCTAGGCTCCCCATCGGCCTAGCAAGAAAAATAATGTAAATAGGGTACAAATGTCACTTTAGTGCCATAAATAACATTATTTCGCAATACTCACCCTAACTGAAACAATTTATATAATGTTTCAACTGTATAAAGCTATTTACAGACGAGCAAATATGAGTTCGGTCCGTTCGTTACAAACTTCCGTACGTAGCCATGTTTGTTTCGCACAGTTTGCCAATTCCCACAATGCTGTGCTCCCAAAGTTTCTATATTTGTGGACGACAGAGGGCGGATTACTCTTTTTTTACCCCATCAATATAGCCGTACTCGCGCGAAAAAGCGCCCCTTGTGAAAATTTCCTTAAGCGCCCCGTTTGAATAAGCGCCCTTCTAATTTTAATAACCGTCCCCTCAATAATTCAATCAATTCTGGAATGAGTGGATGTTGGCATGATTTGAGGTGTGTCAGTCAATATCAAAATGAGGATATTTATCTTGGACAAGAGCTCTCTGGACAGACAGTATATTTCCAACTTTCATCTTCTTACATTTTTCTATAGCCTAGTCCTACTGCTTTTCCGACAATTTGCACCCAACAGCACATTCTCATATGAGTTTTCAAGAAAACCTGCAATGATCATGCAATCCTGCTAATCTCAATCGGCCGATGGCCAACAAGTAACCACCACCACTAATTTCATCTGCTATTCTGAAATTATGTAATAATGTACTCACAACATTCTTGTCATGACAAGCCATGCTCTCTGGACGATTATTATATCTTTTTTGCCGCACCACCATTCTTATCGTAATTTGCGGTTTCCTGATGTCCTTATATAATCATTTTCATTCAAAATGTGCCTCTAGAATTTAATAAATTGTCATAATAACCCCTCGATGTTCATCAATTAATTCCATAAGCGCCCTCTCAATTTCCACTCTGTTCGAATAAGTGCCCCGTTTGAATAAGCGCCCCTCAAAAAGTGCAAACATATTATTTTAAACGCCCGGGCGCTTATTGGCGCGAGTACGGTATTTAGATTTTTTTAGGGTGGTCGGGGTGGTGGCGAGAGGAGAAGTGTATGGCAACAAAACAAATCGTGACAAAATGTTTGTCTGGGGCTAGCATTATTTCGTTTGAATTAACTTTACTCGCGTACGGGACATCGCCCCCCCCCCCCCCCCCCCCCCCCCCCCCCCCTCAGACCGTGCGAATAAGAATTTATTCGCACGGTACCGTGCGAATAACTTCTTATTTGCACTGTTTATTAGCAGAGACCGTGCGAATAAGTTTTCATTCTTATTCACACGGTGGATTGGAAGATCTTGGCATCTGCGAATTGTCGAAAAAAAATCTTTATTCGTTGGTTTGTACCCATTTCAGCAAATTTACACCACTGTTTCTATGTTACAAATTGAAATTTATATTGAGTACATTCTTAACTGTCATTTGGACCTTTCCGAATTGTGGGGAATTTGTTCGCAACCCCCGGCCCTGGATACGTCTAGGCCTAATAACTATACACAAAGCACATAATGCAGAGAGAAGACCGTTGTGTAAAAGTGCAATTCATATTACTGAGTATTAGGCCAAAAAATAGTTTTTTGTCCTTTTTTTAAATGAGAGGCGGGTGGTAAAGTTTTTTACTTTTTTTTTCTCATCAGTTTTTTTTTATACTCGTCAGATGGAATACAAATAACCCACAAAGGCCTAGAATAAGGGCAATATCTTACATCAGACAACAACTTTAGACTATATTTGTAGGCCATCTGACAAAAAATAAAGATAAATTCACTTGATTGATTGTATTTGTAAAGAAAAACGCTAAAAAAAAAAAACCATTTTTAAAGTTGTTTTTTGTTTTTGTTTTTTAGCCCCTATTTTTTCGTTTTTTAGCCCCTATTTTTTCAGTGAGTTAGGGGCGGGTGGAGGAGTGCAAACAATTTAGGCCTTATAAAGTATCAGTGATAATTGTCCAAGGAATGTTGTATGTGTCCTCGTGGAGGATATTTCCTCCATGGTGTACTGTATTACATTTAGGTGGCTGTTTTCGCTATGCCTAACCGAGTCGATTTGGTTGTGTTGTTTATGAATAGGTAGTAACAGTATGGCTGTTTTTCAAATATTATAATGCTGTTTATTACACCCGGTGTGAGAACGAATCCTTTTTTTTTTACTGCGTTCCCTGTACACAACGTGATGCTTTATAATAGACTAGGCCTAAAAACGAATTTCTGTGGGTAGGGCCTACATGCTGATTGGCTACGTCTACCGTGCGAATAAAAACTTATTCGCACGGTTCCGTGCGAATAATCATTTCGATCCCGAAATACAGCAAAAGAAAACAAATTCGAGCGTAAACAGTTTAGAACTAATAGAACAAAGCGCCACCATTAGTAAATAGCTGGTGGCTGAACTGGAACGAAAACTTATCATGGCGACCACCACGGAAGTAGAAGAGGTTTAGATAGCTTAGCTTTTTCACTCGTTTTAAATAAACTACTTGGCAAGTATATTTGTGAGATCTCTAATAAATTGTTTTCGTACTTATCAGAGCAGTTTTTACATGAATGTGTAGTAGTGTAATCTTATCAGAATTCCTTGTCTCAGTCTCTGTTGAATCATAAAATTTGTTTTCGTTCTCGTACACCCATCTTCGCTGAGCATCCGTGAAATTTGTATCTGTTGTACGCTGGACGGAAATGTTGCAACAATGTAGCTAGGCCTAGCCTACCTAGGCTGCTAGTCTAGGCCTAGTGCTAGCCAGTAGATACTAGGCCTGTCTGGGTTGGCCTACTCATTTAGTGTGTATGCCGGTACGGTCTAACTAGGGCCCAGAGACTAGGTCAAGGCTAGTTTTCTAACTAAGCCTTATTTGTTATTATTAATTACACTCTTTAAATTTAAGGGACCTATTATATAATATAATAGGCCTAGGCCCTATGTACGTACGTAAAGCGGCTGTGTTAGGCACCACATGATAAATACAAAGTTAAATATATAATTTTTAAAAAACAACAAAAAATAGCACAAAAAACTACTCATTCTCAGTATCATAAAAAAAATTTATTTGAGGTAAATTGAGCCACTGGTTACGGTTTTATAAACATTTGAAGTTTCTGAGCGCGTTTATAGCAAGTTGCATGTTAACAATACAATTTTTGTCACTTTTTTGCCATATTTCAGTTAATTTTTGTAAATGCTAAAATATAGTGTACATTTTGATTGTAAATTTTTACTGCAAATTACATTAGTAATGTATGATGTAGCTTTAATACAAAACAACCCAAAAATTTATAAATTTTTTTAATGACCTTTGACCCACAATTCCAAAATTGAAATTCAGGGAAAAAAAAAGAAAATAAATAAATTAATTTTTTTTAAAATAAGTAAAAAAAAAAAGCAAGCCTTGTTGAATTCTTAGTGTAAATGCATTTTCTGACAAAATGTTGATACAATTTATTTGTGACAGGCTTTATTTAATGGTGTATAAAATTTTGTGAACTATAATATGATAAAAACTATACATAAATATAGATATATGACAAAATTATTACCAGAATTTCTTTAATTAGTTACCTTTTTAAACACATTTATTTTATTTACATCATTGCCATTTATATGCAGCACTTTTGTTAAGATCGTTATGGTTTACCTCGCGACAATGTGTACACGGCGGCCGATCCATTGCTGATCGTCGATTTTGCTATGCCAAAAAAATATATTGCTACGTATTACATTTATATTTGGCATATTAACTCTTAGATATATAAACTAACCTTTAATAGTAACAAATTGAACATTATTACTCACAATTCTCCGAAAAAAATGACAAATTTAATGAAATTTGCAAAAGCTGATAACTTTGATAAATGTTGACCGAATTAGGAAAAAATCTAAATGGTATGCTACTTCGACCCCTGAGTGACCTGACTGACCAGAAGAATACATCTCAACCATTCAAAAAGCATTTTATATGAATATTTTCTTAAGGCCTATGTTGACAAAAATATGTTTGGCTGAAGTGGGTTAATGACACTAATTAAAGTGTGTGACGTCACGCATCGTGCGATGCCTAGCTGTGTATACAACAAAAGTGGTTTTGTTATATCCACAGCGACAAGCAACCAATTGCAGCACGCCATAATATGTGATTTAAAAAGCTCGCTTTTTAGTAACAATCAATCTGTCCCTTATATACACAGCCACTGTGCGTATAAGATCCGTAGATGTCCATTATATACACAGCTGCTGTACGTTCAGATCCGTTCTATCCCTTATATACACAGCCACTGTGCGTATAAGACCCGCTAAATTTAACTAGGCCTAGGGTAGGCCCTAGGTCATGGGTCCACAGTAGGTAGGCCTAGGTCTAGCCTCCTCCAGTCGGCTAGGCAAAGCCTTTAGGTAGCCTAGGACCTTTAATTTGATTATGAAGTCAAAAATATTAAGGCCCTAGCCTAGGCCTAGCATTTTGAAATTGCACATACTTGCAGTGTACTGTATTTAGAAACATACTCCCTTTTTCATGATTGGCAAATCAGCTGGTGTATTATCACGTAACCATCAGTCCCCTCCCTATCCCCTCCCTTCACTAACCATAAAACCATTATTAAAAGAGCATGGCTCAATGATAGTAGTTCCCAATCACATAAACATGTACTTCTTCGTTACCTTGTTCTACGTCTACAGATGGTTTAACACTACTTTCTTGCCAAATTTACATACAATTTGATTCAGGATATAGAACCTATTTAGAAACTTTGTCAATATTCTCATTAGTGCTGTGTGTTTAAGTGTAATTTGTAATTATTATTATTATATTACTTAAACATTATTTTAATTATAATTATAAATACTTTTTAGTAATTTACATATTTATTGTAAATATAGTAATATTAATTATAATTATAGAAATAATAATAATAATTATTATTATCTTTTTATATCTTGTGATTTTTTTTGTATTGATTATATTTTTAATGTTTATTGCAACTTTTGCCTGCAAGAGGGAACGAAGAGTTCCTGTTGGACGATTGTTGACAAAAGAATTTAGTAACCCTTCCCCTGAAGTTTGTTTGGAAATGCTGAGTAAAACATTTTTTGCATTCTCATGACTGGTCTTTTATTCTAAAAAGCACTATAGTAAACTAATTTCTCATGGATAGTTAATTTTTAGTCGTTTTTAGCTTTTTGAGTATTGTAGGCTTAATTAGATTGTTGCCATATATCATGAGAGCATCTGTGAATTATTTGCTGGCAGGCCGGCCAGCCGTTTGCTTGTTAGTGGTCTTAAATTGCAGGCGAATGATGTGTGGTGTTCGGTTTTTCTGCTCAGTCTCGGCATTCAAATAGTTTCTTGGTTACAATAGGAGTTGCTTTTTCATCACTTTATTTTTTTTCTTTTAAGCGCATTGAGACTTCGATATAATGCTCCATATCAAGTCCCATCACATTACAGAGCATCTTTATTAAGGTAAATCCATTAATTTAGGTAAAATCAAACTTATGCATGAGTAAGTAGGCCTGTTGTCTGATTTCCATCATGCTGTATCAAGGATTTGATCATAAATTTTACAAGGTAATGTTTTTACAAAACAAAGAAAAATAAAATCACCTCTCTTTAAATCAGTTAATAATGGTACAATATACTTGGTGACAGATTCTCTTGATTGTGTACTTTATGTTGTTAACACCAATCTAGCGTTTAATACCAAAAGCATTGTGTTTGATATACTTGTTTTTGTGCTGAGCGATTGATGTGAACCCATTAACAAAGTCATAAAGATTAATGTTATCTGATCCAATTTGTTTAATGGCAAGTAAATGTTATATAGGCTTAATACTAAGTTAAATTAATATCTGCAACAAATTAATAAAATTGATGTGGCTTGTCATGTAACTAATAAATTAGACTACTTATGGCCCAACTTCATAACTGAAGGATTCGGCTCTTTAAAAAAATTTTATTTAAGACTTACGCCACCCTAGGCTGACCTAGTTGATATTTGTCCATGTAGAAGAGTCTGCCTGCCACTGTGCCGTACACCAGTAACTTATGTGCGGAGACCAGCCATTTCACTCTCAGGCACTAGAGTGGTAGCAGCATCTAATCTAATAAATATACATAATCTAATCTACACAGTACAGAAAGGGGTGGGAGAACAAATGGGTCTGGGGGTGGGGGTCACCTTCCATGCATCCCACTGTTGGTTTGAGTTGGATTTGATATGAGCTGGTTTTGGTTTGCGCATTTATCCTTAATATCTAGACTCCACACTAACCATACCTTTGAACCTTCATCAATCAGAACAAATATTAATCATAAGTACTGTACAGGTACATTAACCAATTTTGTATCTTGATACTTGCAGTTAATTCTGCCAAATGACCAAAATTAGATTACAAATTTCTTTATCTAGACTTTCTCCTGTTGGCTAATTAATATTATAATATCTGATAATTTATCATCTCTATAGACTCGTTCATGTTGAACTATTATCTAGTAGATCCACTTAACTAGTTAAAAGTTGACGTGAACCAGTCAATTATAGCTAGATAAAGGCTTAAGTCACTCAAAGTTAAGTGGCTTAACTTTACTAGAATAACGATAAATTAACTTGCTTAACGGTAAATCGGCTTGGATTACAAGGACACGATTATGTAATGTAGGCACCTAAGCCAACGTTGTGTTGTACCACCATTATCATCCTCTGGCTGGCAACTACGTACTCCCAACAATGCTAACAACAGCAGCAAAGTAGTCTTATTAGTCTGGTTTTCAGAAATTATTTGTAATATTATGGGTAAAAACCCAGCAAACGTCTGTTTTACGAATAGTCGATATTATAAATGACCTTTGCCCTTTGCATCATCGACCAAGTAATAACGTCAAAAAGTCCTATTGCGTACGTTTTTCAAAGTGATAATGTATATTATTCTTAATAATAAAATCAGATTTGTTGTATTTATTTATTGACAATTCAATCCTTTCCATTTCCGCTATAATATAGTCACTATTAATTCAGTTTCAACGAACTACCACCAACGCCAGTCATTAAAATGAGCGCACATGCTTACGATGACGAAATAGAAGTGTGTTGAAGTCAGCAACTTATTTGACACCGCGAAGCTAGAATTTAACGAGAATTAAAACAATATTTTGTTTTAAATGGGAGAACGCTAGTGATTAAAATAACTTGTTTTTTATCGAAGGTAAATTTAGCTAGGGCCTAGAGTCTACTACTAGATTGCGTTAGACCACGCTGCTGCATGCACTTTCGGTTGGTTCGTACTGGTAGTGGAAACTGACACATGATTTCCACCGTATGACGTCGACGGCCTCGAAGCTGTCTGGCTGTTTATCTGGCTCTAACTTGGCATCGAACGCAACTAGGGAAAATCGTATCATATTTCAAGATTTAGATAAGTGACTTAACTTTGACGTGAACCAGGCTATTGTTTCAATATTTTAAAGAGAGTATTATTTTATGTTAATAGCTTCCACATGAGTACAGTAAATAATAAATGCACAAAACATGTTTAAATTAAACAATTCTGTAATATTAAATTTCTTGATTAAAATTATTTGCTGTGTATTATCATTCAAAAAGATACATAATTATTTTCTCAGTTGACATCATAAAAACTATAGTATGAAGTCGTTAAAATCTATTGTTGGCATTTTCAATTGTGGTTTTTCGACATTATAAATAATTACTATTCATTAGTACTCATTATTGTATTTTAGAAAGAGAAATGAGTGTGAAATAAGTCTCGTCGCATCATGGAAATCATTATTATCTATATAAGAAACTAATATTCCTAATATTATTTAATTGCTTTCATGTTCAAGTAATTATTTTTCACAAAGGTCATTAAAGGTCTGTTTGATTTTTTTTTTATTGTTTCATGTTTTGAAAAAAAAATTAAGTACTGTACCTCTCAGTTATTTGTATGTTTTTAGAATTATCTCCTTCATAAGCTTTCCTATGAAAGTGTGAATGAATATGATAGTGTAATTTTTATTATCACTATATCATAAGATTGATGTTTTTGATATAAAATTGCTGGTAGTGGAAAAAAAACCCAAATTGCTAGTAGATGTGTACAGTTAATACTATAGTTAGAATGGGTTTTAAAAATGTGTATGTTGGAGTGATGATAATGACTGCCATTTACATTTTAAGTAGTGAATTTCATACTACAGTTTTGTAGCTGAATAATATACGAGTGATATTTTGTATGTTAATGGATTCAGAATGAAGAGATGACATTCATGGTTTCTTATTTCCTATCAAATGGTGTGCAGGTTTGGTCCATGACAGAATATTGTTTACATCGTTATGTACTATAGCTTTATATTAAGATATTTAAATTCAAATACCAGGATATACTTAGGATTTTTTTTTTCCCACTACAAAATTATTTTAAAGATAGGCTGCCAGTAGAGCATGTGTATACTTGACATAGTTTTTTGGAGTACATTCTATATGAAGATACGATTTATGTTTGGGAGACTGTTATTTTATCTGTAGCTTATGATGTAATGCTATCGCACAATTCCTCTCTTTTTTACTCTCACAACTTAGTGAGACAATAGCAAGTGGTTACAGCTTCTGCAGGGGTACCAGACACAAAAACCAGAGATTGCACCTGCAAGGGGTTGGGGGGCTACTTTTTTTCTATTGGCCAAGTATAAAATTCTGTCATCCAACCCCACATGAGGTCGCTGAACTAAATATATGAAATTGCTGATCCAACCAATTGTTTTGATTATAGTTCTGATTTTGTTAACCATCTGGTCATTATCTTGGTGGTGGAATTGAGGTTGATGTGCATCTTCAGTTGTCTTCAAGACTAATCATCCTCCAGAAAGTCCTTGCACCTTTAGCCGGGCACTCACACCGTCGTACAACAAATCCAAGTCCACTCCCTTTGAGCGTCACCGCCTGCTCATTGTCGGTTGTCGTCTGAACGGATCGTCATTAAAAATGATCAGTTACGCTGGAGTAGTGCCCCTATGCTATAATGTAGAGTTAGGGTTTGGGGTATGCTGGTCACTAGGACCTTAGTGGAGGAACGTCCATCCCCCATGGTACATAGTTCGTCCAGATATCCTTGATTATGTTGAGAGAATTACAGTACACATGAATTTCCTTTTGGACGAAATAAAATATATCGTTTCGTGTCATTAAAATAAGCCCAGGCATACTTACCACGAAGCGCACAGCTTGATTTTATTGAGGATGGAAAAAATGATTGTTCCCTGTTGATAGTGAACCTGTGGTGAACATGCAGAATGGCTTCTTGATTAACTGTCTAATGAGCCCATCAAGGAACCAGGTGTTGATAATTAGGATGATGATATACAGTTTATGTGGTCATAGTCACTTGACAGTGATTTAAAGCGCTCTTAGGTAGTGCTGCTCTATGTCAGTCATTTAAGATCATTGTTGATTTTTGTTTTGTTTTGTCAGATACTGCAGAAATCCCCTCTGGTCTCTATCAACATTCTGTTTCCCATGCTAGGAAATACATATGCCTTATTTGAATCTGTAGGATAATACATTTTTTTAAATTTCAAACCTTTTCTTAATAAATAAGCAATAATAAAGTGAACACGCTTTCGTAAATTCTTTTAGTAATCCTATTGCGTCTATGAAAGACCGCCCTGTACTTAATAAAAATGCAATGTATGTTTTTTTTATTGTACCCCATGGTTTGTCGAACAGTAATAGTAATTTAACATTTTCCTTAAACAGAATCACCTCTAGAATAGTTCAGCCTTTACTGAGATTTTAAAGATGACCACAGAAACTGAAACAGAAGAACGAATTCGGAACAGCTTTGGTGGTGTGCTGCCTAAGCAACCAATTCCACGGAGTATGGCACGTCTCACCCGTCAGGACAGGGCACACAGTGATCCTAACTTAGCCAGAAGCTCATTCCAAGGTCTTTCAAGTTTATCCGTTAGCAAGCAAGAGATTACATTAGGACATGGTGATAGTCTTATTGTTTATTGGGACATCAAAGAAGATATCTGTGCTACAGATTGGATTGGACTGTATCATTCTGGTAAGACATTTTTACTTATTGATGAGGAGGTTAATGGACATTTCCGGGATGTCAATCAAACTTAACAATTGACCATTTAGAACAGCGCGCGTGCTGTCTCAAAAATGTGCATGTTTACATACATTGTTTTATAGGACCGTAGCGAAAATACCCAAGGGTCGGGGCTTAACGGAAGGGTCTGGTGGGGATTTACTGTATATGGCTCCAAGTTCACGTAAAAAAAAGGTAACTTATTTGAACGAAATACCAACCTGACCTCTTCCACCACCTCTACTCTATGTGGTCATTACAGTAGTAGATTTTCCACTTTGTCCAATTGTATATAATCATAACTCTAGTGGATGTAGACCCTGCACTAGCTCAATTTCAAATTTGTGGATCCACCACTGATCCTGTAATCATTGTAAAACTTGACCTAAACCATACTGGGCAAATGTAAAAAAAGGTTGTAGTAAACAGTAACTTACACATGGTCATCCTCTGTAAAGGTCATTGGTAAACTGATATATCAAATCTTTTCCAAATATTTCCTTTTTACTATTTAATAATAAGTTTAGTTTGATGTCATTTTTATGTACTATACTAATTTTTGTTCTTGAGTAAATTTATAATGTATTCCACATGGGAAGTGTTTACATTAGTAGGTGGATCTGAAGAATCATGAGCTTTGCAAGACATGCTAAATGAATGCTCTTATTATTCTTTAATATGATAATATTATCATGTGTATTATTTTTGTATTTCTGAAAGTTCATAAATCAATAATTAATTAATAAAGTATAGATTTTTTTTAGAGTGCATAATGCAAAAAGCCTCTATGCGCTAGACCTATACTGTGTTTTTTTTTTTTTTAATAAAGAATGATTTGATAGTTTAATCCAATCCCTATGGACTATGCCTACTCCTAAAGTATAGTAGACTGTTGACTGAGAGTTGATTCACCCTATGAAATTATGAAGAAGTACACAGTACAAGCCTGATAATTATTTTAACATTATAAGTCAACAAATAAAGTTAACATTAGTAGGCTAAAGTTGATCGTTATCAACAATATCAATATTCATATAACTTTGGCAAGCAGGTACTCTATAAAACACTAGTAAAAGCAGTGGCTTCATAGTTTGTGTTGAGCAATAGACTTGAATATTTTAATTGCTTCGTATTATATAATAAAATAATAAATATTATATTAGCTTTTACACAAATTTGATTGATAAAATATGTTTGGTTTCCGGATGACAAGTCCTAGACACTTCTTCTATTTTTTTGTGTAGATTTTTAAATTTGAGTGGTTTGTTAAATAGAAAGATCATTATTTAAGTATTAATATTTGTTTCCTTTAATCTGGTCACCATCAGGGGAATGTTCCTGATGATGGAAAAATTACTGTATTTAAATTATTATCCTCCTCCAACAAAATCTATCTGTTATTTTTTAAATACTTTACTGCAAATTCTTGGCTGGTGTGTATAGTAATATGTTTTAATCTGTTTGCCATTGAAAGTTGTAAATACTATGTTTCATCCCTTTTATATTATACAGTAAATAGATTTTTTTTCAGGGTTTTTTTTTAAGACTAGCCTGCCACAAGCTACAGTACTAACCTTAATGACTTCTAATAGAGTACGGCATTGCTGATTTCATAACAAGTATTCGTTAATGCTACCCACGCACTTTATAAGCCTGAAAGCATTCTACACCTAAGCTACAGTATGGTTTCCATAGCTTTATGTAACTTTCTGTTACTCAACTCTGCAACATTCTTTATTTCTACAGTATGTTGTAAAATTAGGATAACTAATTATTAGTTTAGGATAACTAATATTTAGTTTTAAACTCTGTACACCTTGGTTAAAAAAGCTATAATAAACTATGGCTGCTTGGTACAGTAAGTAGCTGCTCACGATAATTGGTTTAACGCGGTATCAGGATGTAGTAGTCTATAATTACAGGTATAGTCAGGTTTTGAGTACACTGTAGGAAATAGAAGTCGAAGGAGCCATTAGCAACATTATGTTAATCCAAAATTATTACATTATCGTAGGCATTTTACTTTACTACCTTCATTATGATTGTAAACAAATACTATAGAACATACAGTACATTTACTGTAACTCATCTTCCAAAGGAATCAGTTTCCATTATGTTGCAACATAGGACATCCAGCACTTACTGTCTACCAATTACTGATTGCTAGGTAGGAAATTACCCATTGCTAGGTAGAAAATTACCCATTGCTAGGTAGAAAGTAAGAAAAATAAATGATGGAATGCCCAAAATTGTGGTGACAGAAGGAGTAATTGAACCCCTGATGAAGCTTAAGAGACAAAATTGCAATTGTTGCACCATCAACCTCCCCCCGCCCCGCCCTACCCTGTTAACAGGCAGATAGAAATTCAAATTGCCAATGAGATTTTTTTCGGTACTTCTTTTGACCTATAGTACAACATGCAAACGTTCTGTAATTTCCATCCTACTATTTACCTATAGTCACTCTAGGACAAATACTTGGAAACACCAATTTCCGTTTGACCACTTTGTCAAACAAAGCACTGCATTGTGTGCATAACTATGGATTAGCACATTTTAAAATATGTACAGTTTATTAGGTAGGCTTTTTTTTTATATTATTTCCTGGATCTAAATTACTACTGTATCACTTGAGAAGTTTTTATATGATTTCCTGAATTTGTATTCGCACAGAGAACTTGGAACTTACTGTGTTTTTTCTATACTAAAGATAGTATAGTCAATAGTTTCCTTCTGTATCTCATTCTTGTGTATAGTCCTGTTAATGGCCGCATATATGCCTCCTGAACTCGCACCACTCTCTACAGTAATAACTGCCACATCAAAAATTATTATTTTTTCACTAGTAGTTACAGTATTTGAGAGTACAGTACATACCATATATTGGAACATAATTAAACAAACTTATTTCATTATGGATTTAATGTTGCAACAAATACAGGTATAGGATCATTAGACTATTCTAGCATTCCAATAATTTAATAGGCACTGCTCTCAAATATATATCTCTTGTATCCAGTCCAACAAGCATCTAGACTAGGGGTGGGCATAAAAATCGGTCTGAGGGCCAAAGTGAATTTTTGATTGAACACAGAAGGCCGCACCCAAACTTTGATGTTTCCTGACAGCTTCAAAAACTTCAAAGCACTGCTTTTATATCACTTTATTTTCAGTTTTCATTGTTACTTTTTACATATGATTGGTGTCAGACGGTCAAAAAAAGGTGTTTTCTAGACAATTTTGATTGGCGGGCCGCAAACATAGGGTTTTTAATTTATTGTCGCGGGCCACAAAAAAATCGCTGACGGGCCGCATGTGGCCTGCGGGCCGCACTTTGCCCACTTGTGATCTAGACCATAGGTCTACTGCTTGTGATGTACATTTTTTTTTAACAGAAAAGGTTTCTTCCCATAAAACCATTGTAACAGATCTATGCACAGTGTTTGTGTTTTAGGCTTAAAAGTTTGTTAGAGCACGGAGTGTACCAGGTGAGGAGTAATATCAGCTTCTTACTAAGTGTATTAAGAATTTGTTTTTTGGTTGGTGTCCTTAACATTTTTTATTTTTTGACTATTCACATCAGATGTTTGTACTATTTATTGAACCTGGGAAAGTGCTGGTTTGTTTGTCTAGTTGAACACTATTTTACAACTTTGGTTCATTCACTTTCTTAATTTATTCTTCTTGAGTCTTATATATTACAGTATGTCTGTACTATTCAAATAAATATTGTTATGCCTCCATTTACCAATTATGATGAAAAGTGATGCCAGAAATTGCTGTTGATCCTTTGAATTTAATGGAAAATTACATTTCATATTTCCTTCTGCTTCAGTAATTATTATTATATAAATTAGTGACATGAGTTAGCAAAAATTAGGGTAAACATGATTGTACTTGAACCAACAACTTATTATTTTCTCTTAGTTACTTGAGCATTTTTATGAATGAAATGTATTTTTATCCACACTTGACCCTTGACATACTGTAATAGTGACCTTTGGAACAGAAATAGATAACATGACCTACACTGTACTGTGTAATTCTGTTGATGCATGAAATTATGGATTTGTGTATATTACCTAGATCGTCATGACCTAATCCATGTATAAAAAATAGATAACATGTCTGGTTATCCTTTCATTATCACCTAAACCATGTATAGAATACTGTGTCCATGGACGTATAAAATTAGATGCTGTGTTCATGGATAATGTGTTCTATTTTAAAAAGCTTGCTGTAAATTGATGACTTAAAATTGTGAAAAACACAGTTTGATCCAGGTTTTTTTTTTTTTAATAGATCTAATATGAATATAGAATTCTAGTGAAATAATTATATTATTGCCCTGGTATTTTTAGCATGTTCTGTTAGGAGAAGTTGAACAGCTGATAGCCCCTTGTTGTTTGCGTATAATGAGGGGATTTTGTAGGCACAGAATATATCTAGATGAACCTGAACAGGAAACTAAAGCCCCTCTCCCACCTAGGTTTATTTCACCTAAGAGTCGCATGATTTCTTTGGGTTAAAAACTTGTGATCTTTGGAAAGGACCTATACAAGCTTATTACGTGTTAGCTACAAATGAGGTACGACATTATGGTGTTGGTTACGAGTTATGTACAAATTATGCCAAGCAGAGCACCAAGTTTATTACGAGATTATTACGAGCGTAACAAGTTTGTACCGAATTAGATACGAGTTAGGTACGAGCCAACTCGGTGCGCTCGAACTCGTTTCTGGGTGCTCCCATCAAACTCGTAGATGACAAAACTGCTGACGAGTATCCAGAGTAGTGTATGAGCTAGGTAGGGGTACTCTACGAGTTACCTACGAGTTCTTTGAGTTTACTACGAGTTATCTACTCGCTAATTTTGAACATGTTCAAATCTAGCGCCATGAGTTCAGAGCTGCTACGAGTAAGTAAGAGTTCTCCCCGAGCTTTCCGAATCGTCCTACGAGATATCAGGTGGAACCAATTTGTCAAATGTATGCTCAGCAATTCAATTCTGAAGGCCAAAAGTGAGATTATCTACAGGGTTCGTACGCGTCCTTAAATTCCTTGAATGTCCTGGAAAAACAAATGAGCATTTTTCAGTACTGGAAAGTTCTGGAAATTTAAGATTTTCCTTGAATGTCCTGGAAATTTTATCATTAATTGCAGGACTACAAGTTGCCTAGTAACAGTAAATTGAATGAGAAACGTTCCCACGAGTGGGTTCCCACAATACTCTTGAGAGAATCAGGGTCAAGTCTTTGTGCGCCGCCAATTCAGGAATGTTATCAAAGAAAGAATGTCATTGCTGAAAATGGCCGACTGGCTGGTTCAGACAAACTTGTGCGATTCAGTGAATGGAGTTGTTCGCTATGTTTTAGTAAAGGCGGTGCTTTTTAAAAAAAATTGTGTATATTAATTATGTTTGAATTTAATTTTAATTCAGACATTGATAATCATAATCGTTAACTTTCTTGACATCTGCTATGAAGTTATTTGCTTTCTGTCCTGTGTTATAAACAGTACAGTACTGAAATACTAAACTTTCAATCAATTAAACAGGTCCTAAATATGAAATGAGATGCATTAACGTCTCCGCAACGTACACCCATCAAAGGCTATATTGTTTTAGTGTATATACTGTACATGTCAACTTCGCCACAGCTGTTCACTGAACAACCACCCTGGACAGGCTGTAACCCACCCCGCGGTGCCACAAAAGAATCGAGTTATTTGGGTGCGTTGGTACCACAAAAGAAACTGTCACGTTTAAGCAAAGATAAGACCATTGTTGTACGCGCACATTTATGTTGCCTAGGGGAGAATTCTACTCCACTGTAGGCGTTCACCTCTGCCTTACTTTACCGGTACATCCTAATACTCGTTGGAATTCCTTTGCTTACAATCAAATTTTACATGTGTGAGAAAAACTTAATTTCCCACGAGCGTGAGAAAAAGAGACAGGTCCATCGCCTCCGAATTAGAGTTTGATAAAACTTAATATACACTCAACTAACATGAAAGTAGTACAGCATATATGTTTTATAATCAGTCGTAAAATCGCCGATATTTTACTGGAATTAGTCTTCAGTCACTTTCCAGTGAGGAGAATTATTTATTTGAATAAACACCTTCATTTTGTATGTCCTTTTCGCGTCCTGTCCGTGACAGTCATTCATCGTAAAATATACATATCTTGGAAATATTTTTTAAACTTTTTTTTTTTCAAAAAATATACATAAGGTTTGTGGGCTACTATTTAATGTTATTTTAAAGTTTTAAAGGTTGTCATTAAAAAGCTATTGCATGTAAAAGTCTGCAAATGTCCCGTCCGTGACAAAAAAAAATACTGTGGAATGCCCCTAGATGACAAAACTGCCGACGAGTATCCAGAGTAGTGTACGAGCTAGGTAGGGGTACTCTACGAGTTACTACGAGTTCTTTGAGTTTACTACAAGTTTACTACGAGTTGTCTACTCGTGGCGCTAATTTTGAACATGTTCAAATCTAGCGCCACGAGTTCAGAGCTGCTACGAGTAAGTAAAAGAGTTCTCCCCGAGCTTTCCGAATTGTCCTACAAGATAACAGGTGGAACCAATTTGTCAAATGTATGCTCAGCAATTCAATTCTGAAGGCCAAAAGTGAGATAATCTTAAATCCTTAAATTCCTTGAATGTCTTGGAAAAACAAATGAGCATTTTTCAGTACTGGAAAGTCCTATAAATTTAAGATTTTCCTTGAATGTCCTGGAAATTTTATCATTAATTGCAGTACTACAAGTTGCCTAGTAACAGTAAATTGAATGAGAAACGTTCCCACAAGTGGGTTCCCACAATACTCTTGAGAGAATCAGGTCAAGTCTTTGTGCGCCGCCAATTCAGGAATGTTATCAAAGACAGAAAGAATGTCATTGCTGAAAATGGCCGACTGGCTTGTTCAGACAAACTTGTGTGATTCAGTGAATGGAGTTGTTCGTCATGTTTTAGTAAAGGCGGTGCTTTTTTTTTTAAATCTTGTATATTAATTATGTTTGCATTTAATTTTAATTCAGACATTGATAATCATAATCGTTAACTTTCTTGACATCTGCTATGATGTTATTTGCTTTCTGTCCTGTGTTATAAACAGTACAGTACTGAAATAATAAACTTCCAATCAATTGAACAGGTCCTAAATATATATGAAATGAGATGCATTAACGTCTCCGCAACGTACACCCATCAAAGGCTATATTGTTTTACTGTATATACTGTACATGTCAACTTCGCCACAGCTGTTCGCTGAACAACAACCCTGGACAGGCGGTAACCCACCCTGCGGTGCCACAAAAGAATTGAGTTATTCGGGCGCATTGGTACCACAAAAGAAACTGTCACGTTTAAGCAAAGATAAGACCATTGTTGTACGCGCATATTTATGTTGCCGAGGAGAGAATTCTACTTCACTGTAGGCGATACCCCTGCCTTACTTTACCGGTACTTCCTACTCATGGGAATTCCTTTGCTTACAATCAAATTTTCTATCGTGAGAAAAACTTAATTTCCCACGAGCGTGAGAAAAAGAGACAGGTCCATCGCCTCCGAATTAGAGTTTGATCAAACTTAATATACACTCAACTAACATGAAATTAAAAGTAGTACAGCATATGTTTTATAATCAGTCGTAAAATCGCCGATATTTTACTGTTAAGCTATATGTTGTGTCCTTGAAAGTTGGAAAATTTGACCTTGAATGTCCTGGAATTGTCCTGGAAATTTGCCTGTTTAAAAACGTATGAACCGTTACCCTGTATCTATGCTGGTATCAAAAGATTTGACAGGGTTCCTTGCAAGTTCTCGTTTTGTACAAACTAAAAAGTTTATTTTATCGCTATCTCATTTCATTTTTTATGCAAGTTAATTATGCAAGAATTCAGAGGGTAATTATTGATGGACCTGATCCAGAGGGCATGTTCATTACCTGTTACTTAACAATCCTGGTTAGCATCATTTATTTATTAATTTTTTTCTAATAGGCCTACCATTTTTCTTTTTTTTTCTAGTTTTATAGACTTAGTTTTAATAGCAAGTAGATGTTCATAGGTTAGGCCATAATAAAGAGGATAAAAGAAAATAAAGGTGTTTAATTATAACTTGCTGGTCACGATTTTTTTTTTTGTATAATCTAAGTAGGAAAGGAAAGTTGTGAAATTGTTAAGCATCATAGATTTCTACTTGCTCTCATATTTGTGTGTGTTTTATGTACTAGTTTTCTGTTTTGATATAATAATGAGAGTAATAAATAATAAACAAACAAAACAAACAAAGAAATGTTACTAAGCTCAATAAACTAGAAAAAAAAAAGTCCCAGTATCTTTAATATATATATTTTTAAAATTACTTTTGCAGAGGAGATGAACCCATCAAATTTTATTGACTTTCAAAACCGAGGAGTGACTGGAACCCGCAAAGGACAGATGGTGTGGGACCTAGATAGAAATACAAACTTCCGAAAGGGTAAGAGTAATTCTTTGTAGAAACGATGTACTTGTTAAAATAATCATTAATATTAATTTTATTGTTACCATATTGAACGATATGTTATTGTAGTAGGGATGCATGTGTGTAACCAGAACTACATATAAAAAGTTATTTTTCTCTAAACAGGCATGTTACGTGCTGTACGTTGCGTTTTTAGGCTCTGAAAAATGCTCAAATTGCTAAAAAAAAAATTAAAAGCAGGCAAGCCATTTTTGCTTAGTCATCTCATGTAGTGAAGTTCAAGTTGCATAGATATAATAAAGTAGTTAGACTGCATACTGTAGAATGTTACTACTGTACTGTTCTGTAGAATGTTACCACTGTTACTACATTGAGCTGAAGAAAAGCTTTGATATAAACATGGCTGCTGCCACTACATTAGAGCATCGATCTTCTGAAAATTGACTGGCATTTAATTTTCAATACCACAGCTACTTAAGTTCATTAAACCATGACATCACTTTGTGCAGATTATTTGTTTTGCATTATTTTCCAAGAAACTATACATCAAATACTAAGAAACAATTTGATGGTGTAGAGTTTCCATACCAAATTTTATTTTATACTTGTTATATTTAATTTCAGTAAATACAGTTGAATTTACCCAAGTCGTATCCAAAATGGCTTTGAAAAATTATTTTATTTAGATAACTTACAGATAGTTAATTAATGGAAAACACAACAATTTGGCATGTAAAATAAGATTGCCTTAGAAATTATTTGAGTTTAATAAGCAATGTTGACTTAGGCAAGTTTAACTGTATAAAATTGAGAGAAAATTTCAGTTGCTGCATGAAAAGAGTAGTTTTCTTTTTAACCTAAAATTGTAAAACTGTCCCATGTGGTTAGTTGTAGCCTGTAATGTGTAATTCATATTTTCTTACAAAACCAGCGTTGGACTGAAAAGCAACTGACGTATTAAAATCTCAACACTTTCAGTAATTAAAAATATTAATTTAAGGTATAGTGCTATGGAAGCTAAAATTAATATATGTGTTATTATACTGGCCAGTCTCCTTTTATGTATTTGGTTGTTTGTCTTTGGCTTAATGGCTGCCTGATGATACAGAATTCATTGTTGTTACCAAAATAGAACTAGATTATGCCTCTGTCCAAATCTTTGTGCCGACATGGGCAGCGATGACAAACTGTTTAAATATATGTGCCTTGACATGCGAGGATATATTTGCCAATTATCTGACAAACCTAGGACATTTATTATCACAATTCACAATACAAGTATTTTTGCATTCAACATGCCTTGCTATGCTGATGGATCCCTGTTCAATCACAGTCTTAAGATAGGGGTAAATCTTTAAAATGCAACTAAAACATTGAATACAAATCCGTTTGCCATAATTTTGTTTCGCTGTTTAGTACTGCCCTGTCTCGATTACTGCAATTCTCTACTTCATGGTTCATTTGATAAGGAAACAAAATGTCTCCGGCTTATTCAGAACAGGGCAGCAAAACTCATATTCTGAGAGAGGAAATTTTACCAGTGTCACACCCTGACTCTTATGGCTTCATTGGTTACCAGTTCATAAACGCATCACTTTCTACAGTAACTCTGACTTATAAATGCCTACATAGTACTGCTCCATTTTATAACTCTATGTACTCTTTTACATGCCGGCCTTCGTTCTGAACTTGATTTTTTCATACTATCTGTATTCACCAAAAACAAACTTAATCTGTCCCCAAAGGCTTTTATGCATTTTCACCTATTCTTTTGAACCAACTTCCGACCATCATCTGCATCTCTTTCTCGATTCAAATTTTTTACTTTAAAACACACCTTTTTCCATAGTGTATACAATACCTTTTAAGCACTTTGAGACTCTGGTAAGGAGTGCTATGTAAATGCTAAAGTATTATTATAGATGTAAAAGATTCAAATAAGTTATTTTAACTTCTGTTGATACACAGATTTTAAAAAAATCTATTCACTGACAGTGATATATTAATACAAACATTTTTTAGTAATTTTAAATAACAGTCAATGTAAAAGTCCACCTGTATGCAAAAATTGTGAACAGTATTTACTGTACGTTCATTACTTAGCGAGAAAACTCTTCTCATTGAAATTTAGAAAGCTTGATACTATAACTTCAAAAATTAAGTAATTCAGATTAAATATTATTTTCAATTTTTTTGGCTCATGGCATTTAAAATATTCAGTTGCTATCTGTATGAGGCTTTGACGTTGTGCATAGGTTACTTTAGAAATTAAAAAAAAATCGCTGGCTCAATTTCAAGTATGCAGTAGACAACCTATAATTTAAGAAGCGAAACAATTTCATTTCCTAATTAATAACTTCTAGGAAGATAGATACTATGTCATTATTTAAATAAAGGTATATTCAAAGAATAGCAAGTACAGTATCTGCATGGGCAATGTGTTGTCGGATACAGAAATGTATTAATACTACACATGCTGATTACCTTTGATTTTAATGTTTTATGCATCTAATGTGTTTTTGGGTATACAGTACATTCATAATTCAGTATAAGTTTAACTAAAGTGATTTTGTTGCAACAAAAAATACATGACTGACATTAAAGCTACTGATGATTGGTATAATTAATTAAATAATGAAAATAAATGTACATGAAACTGTTAATATATATTGGGTGCAGTATCACCTTTAATCATCCAACAAGAATATCTGGTTATAGCATAAAGTATAGGATTCCAGTGAAAGTGCTGAGAGGTGACTACCTTAAAGTAGAGAAGGGATATTATAGTTGAAATAATCATTAGTCGCATCAGTCAAATTTTCCCTGAAGAATTGCTTAGCCTATAGATGAGTGGGCCTACTGTAGGAACAAATTGCTTGAAAATCAAAATGATTCTGGCAAACTGTCTAGTAGCAAATGAACGTTATGCATATTTTTTCATGTTGCTTATAGCTAAGCTGGTGGTCTGGATACTGTGTGCACTGAATCATGGAGATTCTTTATATTAAACCTCGTAACAGTGTCAATTCCATTGCTACTCTCCTTGGGTTTGTGGAGGGTTAAAAAAATACAAGTTTCAATAGTCTTTCAGAAGAGATTTTAATATCATTGGTCCAGTGTGAAATATGGCCCATGTTAAAGAACGCAGTACATTCTTCGAAACAAAATGGGCAGAATATTGTCTCTGTTTACCACTTGATAGGCTCCACTGGATATAAAAATTTTCAGACTTTTGTTTGTTATCCTCAAGGTATGTTTCACACTGAAATAAACCCAATTCACATCCAATACAGTTTTTAATAGTGAACACATGACAAGTTTTCATGTCCTGTGATTGTTTTTCATGTTTGCAACTAGTATATTGGTCAAGAGAATTGTTTTACAGCTCCTTGCTGCATTGTTTTGAAGACATTAAAGCCCCATTCCCGGCAAAATTTCAGTTTTTAAGAAAAATCTAATTTTTGTATAATGTTATAAAGATTTATAAATATAATACGGAATTGCTAGTTTAAATGAATTTAGACATTCCTAAGAATGAAAAAAATGTAAAATAAGACTGAAATTTGATTTTTTGTGTGGAACACAAAAAATCAATGCGGATGAATTTTTCATGTTGATTTTGCGATAGGTCGTGAGAAGAAATATCATAGGCGCTGAAAACATTAGCCTATCCAATGCTGCTAGGCTAGGCCTAGCCTTACCTCGATTTAGGTTCTGTTATCACACATAAAAACGGCCGACATGATATTTTCCGTTGCTAGTAATTGACACTTGTGAATATAATATTTCACAGGAATTATTTCAAATTTGTTAAAAAACTGATTCTGACTGAGATTTTGACACTTAAACATACATATCTCAGCCTAACCGAACGACCGCATTGTGCGAGATGCGAAGTACAAAAACGAATCTCATTAGAGAGGGCGCACTTTATTGACTGTATAAAGTATAAATAAAAGCGAGAGTATTCCAGTGGATGCGATCTACAACCTCTGAATTTGTCCAGAAAATGGTAATATTTTATGAGAAATAGTCTGTATTTCTCATTTTTTTTATTCTTTTGCGTAAAACTAAAATTCATGCCAATATTTTTCCATGATTTATAAAAATTGGAGTAATGCAAATGCATATTTTCTAAAAAAAAGGTCAGTTTTTAGTGAAATTTTGCCGGGAATGGGGCTTTAAATCAGCAGCAACCTACAGTAAACTTTGATATCAACAAGGATGTCGTATTTATCAGACTATGTAGTCGATTATGAAATCTCTTTGCTCTGCCCATTTGGCAATGGTTCAAAAAACAGCACATGAAATGAAATGTTTTAAAGGTTTTAAAAAGCATTCAATTTAACATTATTTTTTTGTTTTAATTTGCATATAGGCATAGAGAACTGCTTCTTATGAAAACCGTTTGAAGCAATAATTAAAATGGTAATAATATGATGATATATATGATGATGTATATATTTTATCATGGATGAAGATATTTATTGTACAGTACTATAATATAACTACAAACTTTTACTGAGAGGTCTTTCTCCATACTGTATCATATGATTCAATTTATAGTTCAGTAAACATTGATATTAACAGGGTTAATCTCTTACCAGGGAATTCATGTTTACATTCAATTTTGAAATCATCTTTTAGCAACATTGGTGTAATACATAGTGTATGAAGTACTGTAAAACCTTCTAGTTTTTAAGTATTCGCCTGGTTTATGAACATTTCAAACGTATATAAAAACAAAATATTATGGGCAGGTGTTTCCTACAAGTACTGGATTTTTTACAACAGTCTCCCCCAACTTTGTAATGGCGAAAGCAGGCAAAATATTTTTTCTAATTATTAGATTTTTTTTTTAATTGTTTTATTTATTATTTGTCTTTCTGTACTCCACTTTTTACTGTAGTTTTTCTTTTGCTTTTTTGACATAATACAAGTGTATTTTATGATTTTTTTACTCTTTTTAAAAGCTTCTATGTAAATTTTATGTTGTTATGCATATTATTTTCATATTTTCATGCATAAAGTTAATCAAGAAGAAAATTGAATATTTATTGAAGGATTACAGTATATAATAATATCTGATTGACTTTCAGCTGTGACAAAGGTGTGCTATAGGTATTACCATGGTAACTCAGGTGAACTACGCGCAGTCTCGCCCATTATAACTATCTTCAATCACGACGGGCGTAACGACAGCTTTGATTCTAGCTCAGATGATTTAGAAGCAGATGATCACCTTTATACAATTACAGTATCAAGTGAGTTAACAATGTTGTAGACATAAAATTTCCCAGGTGATAAACAGTTACAATACTTTGCTATAAAATGTTGGTTTTCTTTACACAGCATAATTGGAATTATGTGATGGCGACAGTGATGGGTGTAAAAATAGTATTGATAATAATTATAACTGTATGTAGTTTTCTTTAGATATCGATTATTATGATTATTAATGTTATATTAATTTTTTTTAGAATATTTCTTATAATTATAATGATTTTTTATTTTTATTGTTATTAATGTTGTAGGTTTCGAAAATCACATAATTGTAGGTTGTAATAATTACTATAATAATATTTATAATTACTTAATAATTGTAATGTTACCATAAGAAGTTTGTAGTAATTTTGTTTATATAAAGATTTATAATATAAACAAGACAGTAAAAGTGGTTCTGGTTCTACAATATTTATTGCTAACAATACAAAACCACATAAATTGTTCAACAGAATATATTTTACTATTTATAGACACATCATAATAGCTAAGTGTTAAAGTAATGTGTTCAACATAATGATTTTCAAATTTGCAGAAGTTTATGCTGAGAATCTAAAAAAGGGAATGTTCTTCAACCCTGATCCTTACGTAAAGTTGTCGGTGAAACCTGTACGCAAGAAAAGCCCGAAGCTAAACCATCATGAGCAGCATTATAGGACTGCAACCGCGCAGAATACGGTCATGCCATCATGGGAAAATCAGGTGAGAAATTGCCAGTTGATACAACGATCATTGTACCAAATTAATTAATTAATTTAATTAATTTATTGCAATTATACTTGTATATGTCTATTGTTTTTTCTGTAAATACCTTTCTACATGATTCTTAAATCTTTTCTCCATTTTACCTTCAACTTTAAAAATATATGGTCATGGTCATAGTCATAGAATTTTGATGTTGACATCTTACTGTAGCCTTTGATTAAATAAGTATCTCCCTCAAATAAACATAATTTTGAAGCCTCACAAATTGTATAACATCATCAGCGCTCATTTTGTTGTGTATTGCATCTGAAGCGACTGGATGAATTATTACAGGTAGCATTTTAATCAAAATATGACCATGCAGTCAGGAGAACAGGTCAAAGTTTTTTGTGTCGTTAATGTTGAAATTTGCGAAGTTGATGTTTATATACTTTGACAAGAAAACAATAAATATATGTATCTATGTACTAAAAATTAGCTATAATCTAATCTAAATTTTGAAGCCCATAGTGTGCATTGTCTTAAATATTTAATGTTTGGAGCTTAAAGGCTGAAATATTGCAAATGAGATGAGAATATGTGAATCTAAATTATAATCACTGACAGTGATTGATCAGTCTGCTTTCATTTTTGGTTTAATCATTTAAATATCACTGCGTATAAGATGAAGCGATATGATGCTGCCCTCAGTGGTAGCAGACTGTATGTGTGTTGTAGAGTAAGCAGGTACATTGCTTGTAATTTTGGTTGTAATGTAATTTCTGTAATGTAAGTTCATAATTCTAAAAAATTTATAGAAGGAAACGAAGGTACTCTCTCAACTTATATATATTTATTTTTTTGATATTTACTTTATACTATGTTTAATTTATTTTTATTTATTTTTTTATATTTTACAAATCATTCTTCAAGATTTTGATATATTATATTTTCTTTTTTCCCCCAGACATTTAAGTTGCAAGCACTTTTAACCGATTCGATTGAGTTTGAGGTGAAGGATAAATTTACAAAGAGTCGGCCTATCATCAGCCGTTTCCTTGGCAAAGTCACCATGACTGTTGAAACCATCTTACAACGAGTAGCAGAAAAGTATGAGAATATAGCATTTAAAAAAAATCATGCTTTTCAAATTCTCTTTCATTATTATATTTAACAGCATTAATTATGCAATAATGAAAGAAAATAATATATACACCTGATCATATCATGTTTCCTAATTTCATAATAGATTTTGTCCATTTATACTCTCTGAAGATCATCTTCAGAATTGTTAATTTCCCAGTCTACCTTCTCCATTCCCTGGGAAATATTTATAGTGGTACTCCAGCATGCTGGGCACTGACCAATCCAATCCAATCTTTGACTTATAAGGTGCATTATACAAGTCTCAATGCACCAAAAATGAGACAGAACATCAACAGAATGTTCAATACATTCCACTCTTACAGCATCCTACCATATACTAAATTAGGTAGAAAGGGATAAACATAGACTTACTATTTTGCCCAAGAAGCAAAATACATATTGAAAGGTTTAAACTTTGACCTTAAATTTAAGAGCCTGATTTACAAATGCTGTTCCAACAACTTCCATAGTACATTTTTGCTGCTAAATTTGATTTTTATCTCATAATAATTAGAATCTAAATGTGATGTAAAAAGATATAAAATATATATATATTCATGTTATCATATTTTCTTTCACCAGCAATCATTCTGTCCATGTCAATTTAAACAAGCATCACCCCTCGGATCCTATCACCGGAACTCTTTCATTCCACATCCACTTAGAAGAATCTGAAAATGGTAAGTACCTACTGCTACAATGTGAGTAATTGCATTTTAGCTGGCAGTTTAGTAACATAAGCTGCAATACATTTTACTTGCAAAATAACTAAGAATAATTGATGCGCAACTCTAGGTTGGTGAGAATTGGTTTAATTTGTGTATCTATGGTAAATGTTTCCACCATGTCAGGTGATTTAACCAGTGGCTTAAGTGGTTAGCTTCACTGTGCACTTTTGGCATTAAGTGTGAGAACATGTCAGGACTTGTTAAATAGATATATTTTGGTTTTATTATAACATTTAACATGATAATAAGGTGAGTACATGTTTTGTAGTACTTGAAAATTATGACTGTACTTATTTTTTATTATTTATGTAGGCATAAAATTATTACAAGACAATTGTAAAAGGCTTTAAAATTGTTTGCATTACATTTGTTTTTTGCCTGATCCAATTATTTTTTGTGTGTGAAACTTGTGCACACATTGACTGCCACCAAATAATGTAGTAAAAAAGTGATTATTTGAGGTGAAATATGTAGAGGGTGCTCTTAGAACTTATTCATTTATTTATTCAAATAGTAGCATCACATAAACAACGATGAAATCACGTATATGACCCTATTGTTGAGCGACCCCCACCTATTGGTGTGCGTTTTGCTTAAAGCCAGGCTCCGGAGGGAAACAAAATTTTTTATATTTTATAGAACTGATTTTTCTAAGACAGAAAAATGTTGATTGACGAAGAAATGGGCAACGGTGAATGAGATACAGAATTTTGAATATTTAAAAACTGGGGGGAAAAGGGGTGTAACTGCCCAATTTTACACCTTTTTCCCCCAGTTTTTAAATACTCAAAAATCTGTATCTCATTAACCATTCCTCAGTTCTTCGTCAAACAACTTTTTTCTGTCTTCGAAAAATCAGATCTACAACATATCAAACAATTTTTTTCCTCCGGAGTCTGACTTTAAAAACAGAGCCATCACTCTGAAGATGGTGTTTGTGGAATGAACATTGAAACTGTCAGTAAAGGTTAGTTTAAATTATTTGGTTTGTTAAAATAGAAAATTTCTCATTACAAAATTGATTTCAAAATTTAATTATATTTAATTATAGCATATTTACAATATTTCTTAATAATGAATAAAATTTACAAGACAAAAAAATGTTTATTGCACATTGAGATTAATTAAATTTAGATACTGTATACATAAAAAAGATAAAGAAACTTTGCTTAAGATCTCATCTCATGGTTGAAAAGAATGCAAATTTTGAAATGTAAACTGTTTAGTTAATGAATTGACAAATTTTGAGGAAGAAAGAACATTGGGAGATTCAGTGGCAGTGACAGGTGCGATCATTTTCCCCCTCAACTTTCTGTAGTTTTCATTTTTTCCATCATAACAGGTGCTACTAACAGACAAAAAACTTAATTTATTTGAGCCTTGAATTTGTCATAGTAAAAAGTCAATTCTAAATCAGCAAACACTGAATTTGACATGTGTTTTATTTTGTAAACTGTTGTAACTTTATTTTTAAATGAACAGTTCAATGGTATAATTAAATGTTTGAGTATTTTCCACAGAGTATCTGGAAATGACATCACTTAAATGTATATTGCTTGTAATTTAACAAAATTGACAATACAACAGCAACAACCTCAAGTAATCAATGGTTGCCCAGCATAGGCAAAGCTCAAATAATTTCTATTAGAAATAATAACATTTAAAAATAAATATGACTAATAAAATTCCAATGAGGAGTGGGACAGCTGGTTCTTATCAGCAATTAGTGTGTAAATTTTAGTTTGGCTGTTCTAACCATCATGTTGGGATTCAATATTTCGACATATATGTCATCAGGAACCATAATATTTGGTCTTTGCAAGATATAAAATACTATTTTTTTGTCTTAATCTTAAGTCTATTTACTGCCACAACCTTAGCAGGAATCTTTCGATCACATGATCACTTGCTTTTCTTTACACTCGAAGCCGTAACCAAACACCAACAAACGTTTTACACTAATGTGCAAATGTTCAATCCTGTTGCAAATACTGTCACACTTTCAGTTCTGTTGTCATCACAGCAAAATTATGTTCCTCATAACTTAAAATTTTCATCTGCATTCGAAAACATCATCCCAATTCTGGACCAACAATTTCTTGTGGCAATATTCAAAAGTACTGTACTTCAATGCTTGAATCATAGTTAATAAACGTGGCCAGCTAGAAGTCGTGGTTTCTACTGAAGAACCGTCTCTATCAAATTTTATGACAAAAACATGTGCCATGTCTAAATAAGGTCATGATGACATCACATCATGACCATATATAGGCACATCGTGACTATATACAGTATGGGCATACAACAGGTTTTTGTTTTTTTTACCGCCATCTCTCAATGTAGATTTTGATTCATTTTCATTGTTCTTTAGTTGTCTTTCATTGCTCTAGTGTTCACTTTTTCTTTTGTGTTTGCAACCACTAGTTGTACAGTAGTAAGGCTACCCCTAGATCTGGTCGCGGCTTGACAGCTCAGAGTGAGCGAGAGGTCCGATGATGCGTGCATACATTGTCGTCACGCTTGGTTCTCTAAAATTATGCCTTCGGTATTATACCGATTTTAAGCGTGCATCTATGACCCGATTTTAAGCGTGCATCTATGACCTGATTTTAAGCGTACATCTATGACCCGATTTTGCTAAATTAGATTTTATGTTCTAAATGTTAATTTTGGAAGTGGTATTTTTTTAATTTGTACTTGAGTGAAAGGTAAAAAAAAAAATGCCGACCTGATTTTTTGGAAATTTTTGGTTGGTCGCCGGGGGTAACACAACATTTTTTTTTTTTTTTTGGCCTTATGGTTCATTTCTTCAGCTTGCAAATTGAATTTAATTTGTCCATTCTTTGGTCTATGTGCCCCTGTTGCTGTACTGCATGGAGAATTGTAATCTATTAAATTTAAACAGGAAAGCCGTGACTTTTAAGCCAACCACCACAAGTTCATATCCGTCTGTGGGGCCATGTTACTCAAGTTGTTTCTTGCAACTTCCCCATCATTATTCCCTTAGCTTGCCAGCAGATGCATTAAGTTGGCTTTGTCACATGGTAGCCATTACGCTGACTTTGAAACCTAGCATGTAAGGAAGTGATACATCAAGCCTACCAGGCTCGCTTGTTAGGCTAATTACTGGCTGTCTCCGGGGTCTTATAGAAATACTTTTCATTAAGATTTTGGTCTCACACGCTTTCCTATTACGGCCTCCATACTTCAAGTTTAGTACTGTTGATATGTAGTTGTAATCACTTTGGTTTCCGTCAACTTTCACTACTTACTGTAAGAAATCATAATAGTTAGACCTCTATCATTGGGATCTGCTGATCACCTGTCCCTTTTGTCACTTGGAAAGCAGTGGGAGAACGGGCTCCGGTCTCTGTTGTTAGGTGCGACTTGAGGTCATATATATTATGTTTATTTACATATAAATATATATTTACAGATCCAATCAAATTTATTTTGATTGTGATTCCTGATATTGTGTTCTAAAAGCACTATTTTTGTGATATGTACAGTAAATCATAAAATCCCTCTAGATGTTTTACTCTGGGGCTTTAATCAGATACCCTATGGTTAAACTCAACTTTTGACAAATTTCTAGAGCAGGAAGAAATACAGAGTTAAGTTTATAATGACATCCTTAAAATTTGTTAATGGTTGTGCACTTAGTACAAAATGTAAATTTGTATTTTTACCCAAATGACAATGCCTAAATCAATTAACAATAAAGAAAACAATGAGATTCGGCGTGCGCTTTATAACCGCAAGCAAAAGGTGCATTATAAATGCCCGTACCAGTATCAGAAGAACGCAAGTGTGAAACTGATGGTGGAAATTAGAGTAACAAACGTTAATTAGGTTAATTAAACACTTTCTAACAGTACATAATAGTTTATACTTTGCTCATTATGATATTAGCATTTTCATGTGGTGGTGACATGTAACATTATTTATAACAGTTTTTCCCTCCCTTTTTCAAGTTTCAACAGCAACGCTTATGCAGCGCATTTGGTAAATGGTCCAATATCAGCTAAATTGTTTATCCTCTCCCTGATTTTCTTTTGTCTTGAGCATGTTTTAGGTTTTTTTTTTAAATATTTATATTATATTTATATTTATAAGGTTATTTGTTGTCTGGTTATCAAGTTTTCTATTTTATCTTCCATAGATATTATTGTTCCAAATGGTAATCTATCAAGAGCTTCTTCAACGAGATCTGTTAGTCGTTCGGTATCTGTACCACAACTCATGCTACCTGTATTCGACTCAGCTGGTAACATCAGACCGAGATCTCCAACGGCGCAATCCCATAATGCTGCTCATTCTAGTAGCGAGAATCATGAACAAGTAAATCATTCTCACCATGATAGGTCCAGTGACCCATCAAGTAATAGTGACCCGGAAGAGCCACTTACCCCGAATACGCAACCGTCCACCAGTGATGTAACACATGAAGAATTGTCACATGCAGCCGGAGACTCTAGTAAGAGTCTGGCTGACGTTCAAAGCATTGCTTGCATCTCATCACATTATCAGATTGCAGGAAATGCGAGTAATATCACTAATGAAACAACCAGACCGAATGTTGATGATTTGCCTCAAAGTGTTGACAGTGGATCCAACGCAGGAAGTAAAGTAGGCTCGGAAGTTCTTCAGAGTAATGCACCAGGCCACTTAGTGGAGACAACCACCATTAGGAACGAGTCAACGAAAGGGTTTGAAACAACTACCCAGTCTACAGATGAACAGTCACCCCCCTCACTTGAAGAGACATCCTTGATCCCTGGCGCTCTAGCTCAGAATGACTCACAAAAAGAGAGGGTAGAGAGGGCAACTGAAGGTCAACCTACCGTACATCCGACTAGTGCAGCAGAAATAGAAATGAGTACTGATACAGAAAATCCTCAAGGTCAACATAAGCCAGACCAAAACAGTGATTATGAAATGAGCATAAACAAGAACCTAGAGAACTTAGAACTAATGAATGATACAGTAAAAGAGGCTGTCAGCAATGGAGATGCAGAAAATGTCAAAGACCAGCGTCATCGTACAGAGAGCGACATCAAATTGCAACTGGAAATCCAGGAAGAGATCAGAAAATTACGGATGAGGTCCTGGAGTAATCCAGCAGAAGGGAGCTCTTCACCAAGCCCGTCCACAGCTACTCCACAGGAAACGAATTCTACCCCTGAGGCTTCCAATGTTAATGCTGCTGTAGCTAAGTCTGACTCTGGTCAAAAGGATCCATCACAAACAATTGAGAACCCCATATTAGCAGCTAAAGCATCAGAACAGAATAATAGACTAGATACAACACCTATACAAAATGGTGCTCATGAAACTGAAAATCCAACCTCTACAAATACCCAAGAGACTGTCAATGAAGTTACTGGGCCATCAATGGATAACACTGATATGGAACAGGCAACAACATCCAATAACATGGCATCTGCGAAACAGGAAATGCAACGCAGACGGGCACAAAGGCAACACAGTAAAGATTCCATCTGGCATCGTAGGCAGAACCAGCCTGCCAAGCCAAAATTAACAGGTGAACATATTTTTTTTTTATTTCTAATTTTCATAAATGTTATAATTCACACTAAAATGTGGAGATCATTAGGAAATAATGCTCATAAAAAGCAGATTGCAAGTTGATTACTAGGTTTGAAGCAAACATAATTTTGTGGACATTCTTAACCACACTTGACAGTTAATATAAAGTATAAAAACCTGATTATCAGAGGGAGATGATATACAGTTAACCAAATACTGTACAAAGCAACTGATAACATAAGAATTTGAGAATTATGTAAGCAAATACAATTTTTTTTTACTTCTAATTTTAAAAATAGGGCAACAAATTAGGATCCAAAGGGACGCTTAGGACTTTCAGCCAGGGATCCAGACAAACCTGTGGTCAGGAGGGTGGGTTGGGGGGTGGATTTTATGGTTTAGGTAGAAAAGATTGTGCTTATAGACCACAATATTAGGAACTGTGTAATTATGTTAAATTTAAGATTTTATACATAACACTCACTTTTATCTCGGAAAATTTGTACCCTTAATCATATGGTATAATTGTTTTTCTTCAGTGCCATATCTATAGGTAAGCATGGAGGAACATGAACATGCAAAATCTTGCATTCTCCCCCTCTCTCTTCGGAAATCTACTGAGCCAAAGATTTATAATTAATTACCCTTGACCCCTCTCAATTAACCTTCATTCTCCCTCTCACTTAACCTTCATTCTCCCTCTCACTTAACCTTCATCCCCCCCCCCCCTCTCCATGTCAACTCCCATGTCAACATACTGTACTTCTACTACTGTTTTCTTGTGTTGTGCACTCAAATTTTTAATGTTGTTGCAGTGAATATTAAGACCGCCACAGAGGCACGTAATGAAAGCGATACCCCCACACCACTTCCAACACCCCAGAAATTCACTTACCAGAGATATGAGGCCACCGGTGATGAGGAGCCTTTACCAGGAAGTAAGTCTTTCTCGATTTTGACTAATTCCTCATCTGTGCTTTAAAGCAGACATCGTTGACTACACATTGACTATGTATACATGGTGCACGCATACAGACATCACAAGAGTGCCTACATGCAAACATCACATATACAGTATGTTTACACAGATATCACATTTGTCAATACACATGTGTATCTTCACATAAAGACATCAGATGTGTCTGCACACTGACATTACATGTATGTCTTCACACAGCACGTTATCACAAGTGTAACTGCACACGGATATGTGTGCTTAAACAAGCACATGTATTACTGCACACAGATATCATATGTGTGTTTGCACACAAACATCACATCTGCACACAGATATGTGTGTTTAAATAAGCAGATACATAAATACTACACACATATGTGTGTTTCCACACATATATCACATCTGCACACAGATATTATATGTTTTTTTAAACAAGCGCATACATAATCACAGGTATTACTACAGTGTAGGACCCCTGCTACACACGGTTACCAAGGTAATACTGCACACAGATATCGCACGCGTTTAAACATGCACCTGTTTAAAGAACAATATATAAGAAATCAGCCTTCAAAGTTTATAATTTTCGAGCATTTCCCATGCAGAACTATCATCAAATCCTTAAAAAGTGTTGTTTTAACATTGAAAATGGAGAAAATAACAAAATAGCATGATTTATAGATATATAAAGGTTAGTTTAGTGCAATAAAATAGATTTTTAAAAATTTGACATTCCAGGATGTTTTGGCCATTTTCTCTGAAACATGATTTGCGACGAGTGACTGGTTTGGCTGTCTTTGCCACATATTAAGATAAACTTTATTTCAAATTTATCAACAGAATCAAATATATACAATAACACAACAGGAAAACAAATTAATTAACTCTCTATTATTTATATAAGCAAAGGACAATAGCAGGTGTAATTGTGTTGTTCACTATGGTAATGTATTTTGAACATGTGCCTCTTAATATTTATGAGGCGGCATTTCAAAGAAGTTGGTCTCAGTGAATGAAAATGGCAAAGCCCATATTGATATGGCTAATGACCAAATTTTTAGTTAAAAGGAAATTTTGCACTGTCACTGTCACTATAGTGTGTATCAAAATAAGATATATTTTCTTTTAACTGTGTCCTTCACATGCAAAGAAATATCATTAAGGTTAATTGTTATGAATTGATGCTAGTATTGTAGGAATTGAATTTATCTTCCGTAGAGAACTACGTCACGATACCATGTAATACTACTCCGTTGCTCTCATTGCAAAAATGTGTTCAACTGGGCGCCTTTTTCACCACTGACAAACCATTGATCCCAAATTCTAACGATTATTAAGATGTTGTATCTTACTTTTTCTTTGTAAATTTTAATTGATGATTAAATGTGTGTTTGATAACTAATATAATGTGAGCTTTTGTGTTTTAGTACATTTTGATGGTAAAGTATTAGATTTTAAAATGCCTATTCCAGAAAGCCTATGAAGTCATTCAGGCGTAATGAGCGGTAACAACAGAAAGCGCCACCTGGCGTCGTGACGACACGACTGTGGTACTCTATAACCGGTTTTGTTTTTAGCTCAGCAAGTCTTTCATTCTGTGCTTCCATGGTTTAGTCTCATTAAATTAATGTACATTTGCCTAGCAATCCATAGATGGTTTACCACTGTATACAATGTATGATAATTTTTTGATGACCCCCTAAACTACATTTGGCTTCTCAAAATTTGATTTTATCAAGATAATGAGTACATAATGATGTTTCATAGCCTAATAAAATTATGTTTGCCATTGGTGTTTCATATGACCTTGTGGGCTCTATTGAGTATAATATTCATTTTTTTGTTTATGAAATGTTTCAGAATATTCATATGATACTGATATACCATGTAGCAGATCATTATTCATGAGATATGTACTAAATCCAGGATTCTATACAATAATAAATAATATACAAACATTATGAGTACAATGAATATATAAATTAACATAAAAGGATTACTGTGTTTAAAATATCAGAAAAATAAATATATAAATATAAATATATTTAAATACATATAAAGTGTAATATTCAATGTCAAAATAAAAGATATATATTACAAGGTATTATAAGTACTAATCAACATGGTACCCTTATCTGTAATTTATAAACAGTATTTTATAAAGCATTCAATGAGAAATCTTTTACTCGAACCCTTCTAGGCAGGGAAGTGTTGCATTACCACAATTCTACAGTAGTAGTATCAACTATTCTAGTGAGACATATCTGATGAAGAAGGGGCTGAGAGAAATAAATGTTGATCTGTCTGGCTATGCCAATCAATCTGTCTATATTCATCTATGTGTGAGAATCTATGTATTCCTGTATTGTTCGGCATATGTAATATAGAGTAGAACCACTATTGGGACCAAAAAGAATGTCCCCTTAATAGGGGTTGCCTGTAGTGTTAAAAGATGTACTTTTCCTCAATTTCAGTCCAAGAAAGTGTCCCCTTAAAAGGGGTGTCCCAAAGGATGGGTTCTACTGTAGTTTGTTATGAATATCTGTGTTTTTTTTTGTTTTTTTTGTTTTGGTTTGTGCTATATTCCATGATTCCTGATGGTGACATAATTAATGTCTGATGATGACATAATTAATGTCGAAATATTGAATCCCGACACGATGGCGTGCATTTCGATACTTGGAGTATGTATTATACTGTCTTATCTGAGATTAATCAGTGGACCTTTCGGTTTGTGCTATATGTTTCCTAAAATGGAGATTGGCTATAGTTATCATTGTTATTAAAGTCATTCACTTGTAATTGTATTGGATAAGGATTTATTTGGTGTGATCTTCAAAAATAACCCACCTAAGTCCAAAGACTTGTTTTCAGCAAGGTCCTTCTGGTGGTGATAGTACAGTATACCAAGATACAGTCCCTACTCTTTCCAAAGGGTGTATGGTACTGTGTTCTTTACAATGCGCATGGGTTATAATTCATAGTATTCTTAGCAGAGAGTTCATAGTATTTTAACTTTATTACCCATGAATCAGCCTTTAATCCAATAGAATACATCAATTACAAAACTGCTTAGTTAAGGAGTAACTTCACCAAGGTCAAGGATAAATGAGAAATTGAAATTGTTGATAAATTCAATGGATTTACCTTTAGTTCAATTTATTTCACCAATTCATTTATTCTTTTTCCCTAATATGGTACTATTTTTCAAGCTAGTCAGATTATTATACAAACTACACTGTGAGTGTTCAGTTGTTAAACTCAGATATTAATCAGAGTAATTAGGGAAAACTGTAATTGTGTTTTATATATACGTAATGTATATTAATTAAATATTATGAAATCTCCACTCCAAAATTGCAGCCGCCCCCCCAACTGATGAATGTGGTGCCAAAATATGCTTAAGTTCCGCTCTCAAATTACATCCGCCCCAATTGCCAAGATACAGAGGTGACAAGTATGTAAGTTCCATTCTCAAATTAGTAGCCGCAATTGCTGAGTGACAGTTTTGTCAAAATAGACATGCGCCAATATGTAACCTTCGATTGTTGCGTGACAGTGGCACCAAAATTTGCAAGGTCCTATCTCAAATTGCTCTTCCTCCTCTGTTGCTGAGTAACAGGTTTATACAACATTGTTTCAGTTTTGTTAGTCTATGAAAACTTAAGGATGAATGTTAGTTAATATACATACAGCCTATTTAATCAGATGGTGCGATTTCTAAACCTTTCTATTAAGGAAAAGGGTGATACACCATAAAATTCCTAGAATTGGCTTTAGACGAGTGCCAAATTCTGAATGACTTTAGGCTGTGCAGAAAGAAAAGTATTGCTGAACGAAACACACACTACTAAAATTAATTCGAGAAACGTCGCATGTTTTGGGAATTTGTTGCCATCGTATCAAAGAGGCAAATTGACTTAGTGACTTAAAATAGGGATATCGTTTATTTCCACTGTAATTTATATGCATGCTTTATAGGTCGTATACTCTAATATTGCTCCTTCACATCATGCTATTACTTAAACCAAATGATCTCCTGATGAGTCTTAAAATAGAAGATAAGTATACCGGTATTTATCCGAAAAATGACTGATGCCGTAGTCAACGCGATTACTTTTGTCATATATTACTTTGCAATAATTGTAACCCTGCATGCCCATAAGGTATAGCCAGTCCATTTTATTCACTAATTTTAAGTTAACTAATTGTTGATGGTTACTCAGATTCTTTTCAAAAGAACCAAATTGACAGCATCAGTAATGAACAAACATCTAGCCTTGAATTTGCATTTTTCTTTTTTTTCTGCCGTCATGAACTACGTATGTAAGGGAAATATGTCTCGTAATTAAATTGTAGGTAATGTTAAGTGAAAGGAAAATGCAACATGCATACAGCATGACGCCACTGATACCTTGGAATTCTAATCATCTACATTCTATTCAATTATTTCACTTACTATTCCTAGAATAACATTTTTTTTAAATCACATGAAAATGATCCTGACTGATCACTAATTGATATAATGCCTCCGATCTTTTGCTCAAAGCTGGGGTGATTTTACTACAGTACAACGCGATGGAATAATATTTCATCGCGAATAAAGCCTAGAACATCTTCGGCATGGCCTAGAAAGGCACAATGGCTATGAGATTACAAGGTGATTGACGTATAAAAGAATTGGAAAAATAAGGCAACACTGAAATAATTCAAAACAATATTTACAATACATTTTAATCTATTAAACAAATGTCTGCCAGAAGGTTAGGCCTAACTAATAATCCTAATAAACTTTATTTACCACAATCAATTTATCATCTTCTTCATATTGCCAAGTATTGCGAAAGAGGCTGTGCGAAGAGTGTCTGTGCGCGTACTACTAAGAAAATCCTTCTAATATGCGCAGCTAATGCACACGCACATTACTCACTGAGCAACAAACACAGATATAGGGCCCATAGCAACCGCTCTACTAACAGC